GACATGGGAATATTTGTGGATACTATCTAGTGATAGTCTCTGGAGATAGGTTTCTCTCTTTGTAGAAATAACAGGGATTTTTTTCATAGTACTTGTATAAAAATTCATTTCTTTAGATGTACCCTGTGTGTACAGTTGAATGTATGGTTGCCTGCACGCACATGCCTGCGTGCACCTGTCCTGGGGCTTGAACTCAGGGCCTGGACATTGTCCCTGAAATTTTTTTGCTCAAAGTTAGCACTCTACCACTTGAGCCACACCTCCACTTTGGGCTTTTTGGCAGTTAATTGAAGATAAGATTCTCGTAGACTTTCCTGCCTGGGCTGGCTTCAAACTGTGATCCTCAGATCTCAGTCTCCTGAGTAGTTATCATTACAGGCCATTGGCTCCTGGTGTAGATGTGCTTTTTAAAATGTGCATGGTTTTATCCCAATTCTCAGCAACAAATGCAGCTGGAAAAAAAATTAAATAAAAAAATAAAAGTGTACTTTCTTATTAGTTATTTCCAGTGACTAATATCTATAATTCAGTTAATCTAAGAGGTGCATTTTGGAATAGATGCTTGGCATCGGGACTTGGGTGGAGAATTGCTCTGAAGATAGTGGCATGGGAAAAGAGCATTGTGTCATAACAATGGCAGACCAGTAAATGTGTGGGAGTGACTAAGAGTCAGATGATGGGATTTCTGTTTTGTTCTCATGGTGGAAAGAAAAGTGTGTCACTCTGGTGAGATAATGGCTGGACTTTGGGAGAGCAGAGGATGACCCGTGCTGTACTGTACTGTGAGTCAGTCGTCTTTTACTAGAAACCTAAATTCTGTTTGTGAAAGGTATGTCTATGCTTGTATTCATTTGGCTATTTTCTGGACCCAGAAATTAGTATTTAAATATAAATGACTTCATTCTTTTTACTTATGAACTGGGAAAAAACATAACAGAATTATGGCTCAGAGGGGTGAATCTTAGAATAATTTCCATTTGTGAAGGTCATGAGACTGCATATTTGTAATCATGCAATCTTACCCCTTTTGAGAGTTGATCATCTGAATTTAGTAAGTTAGCCTATAATTGCAGCTTTATTCTCAGATATTTTGAGCTTTGGGGAAAAGAAATCTGTAGATACATACATGTAAAGAGTAGTTGATATCAGCCGGGTGCCAGTGCTCACTCCTGTAATCCTAGCTACTCAGGAGGCTGAGATCTGAGGATCATGGTTCAAAGCCAGCCCGGGCAGGAAAGTCCGTGAGACTCTTATCTCCAATGAACCACTAAAAAACCAGAAGTGTTGCTGTGGCTTAATTGGTAGAGCGCTTGCTTTGAGCTGAAAAGCCAAGGGACAGAGCTCAGGCCCAGGGTTCAAGCCCCATGACTGACCAAAAAAAAGAGTAATTGATGTCATTAATAGAATAATGTCATGGATATAATTCTAGAATGCTGGTTATATTCTGACCATCATTATTTTTTAAAATTTTTATTGTTATTATAAAGGTGATATACAGAGAGGTTATAGTTATGTAAGTCAGGTAAAGTGCACATTTCAGTGTTTTTGAGAAAGTATCTTCTCTATATTTCACTGCTTTCTAAGATATGTCTTGTTTACAAGTATTTTTGACATATTCAATGCTCTTGAGGTAAAAGTTGTCTTGCTCATCTTAGAGATACTTTCTGTTGCCTCACCGTTTCTGTACGCACAAAGTATGCAGAATTCTCCACTCCTTTGATCGTAATTATTTGCAGGCTATTTAGGGCCCAGAAACTTAGTTTGTTTATGACTTTGATATTTGAGCCTCGTCGTTATGTGGGGTTATTTATTTACTATTGTATTTCTGTTAAAAGGATATACAGGAACAGATGGGAATTACAATTATAATTTTATTTCATAACTTTGGTCAATGGTTTGGATAGAAATTCCAACACTAATTGGGAAGACGCACATTTTTATGGTGCAACATTTATATGAGGGGCCTTGCACTGGGAAAGTTTATGCAGTGTAACTAAGAAAGTCATGGAGTCCAGTTCTCAGATGGAGCAATAGGAAACAAGCTTGCTAGAGTGAATTGTGAACTACAAGTACATGCATCAGTGGGGCAAGAGTGCTGGAAGACCACCCTCACTATAGAAAGCCTTGCTGGGGAGATACCTTTTGCTCTTTGTGAAGTCAAGCGTCAGGCACTAGCTTCATTCTCCAAGGCTTAGCACCACCATTACTTCAGGATGCTGCCCATCTCCCCCTCCAGCCTCCAGCTCTTGTTCAGTAGTAGTAGCGGTACATAGTAGAATATACTGCCTTCCTCTTCTTCTAGTCGTCACTTCTTTTTCACAGACAACAGCATGGGTTATTTACACTTTTGGGCTATTGTAAATAATATTGACACACATATTTAAATATGACTGATGTTTCGTAGGGGTCTGTTCTCATGTCTCTTGGGTATCCAAGAGTGGAACTTCAAGGCAGTGCAGTGGCTGTGCGTTATCTATTGCACTATTGCTGAACTGTTTTACCATTTCACCTGATAGTATAGATGGATGGCATTTAATTGGAAGTTAGCTACAAAACTAAGAAAAAAAAGCAAACATTCTCAATTGATCAGTTTTCTTTGTTTACATTAGAAATCTGGGTAGTGCAGTTTCTCATGACGTTTTATCATTTAGATTCTTGAATGCAAACCAAGTTACTACTTCCATTTTTTTATTCACTTCCCTTCTCTCCTAAGAAATAGCATCCTGCTTATTTGTGGGAGGAGGTGATTTTCATGTTGTAATTTAGTCATTTTATAGATAAGTTTTTAATGAACAAGTTTATTTATTTATTTTTTTTTTTGGGTCCGGTCGTGGGGCCTGAACTCTGGGCCTGGGCACTGTCCCTCAGCTCTTCAGCTCAAGGCTAGTGCTCTACCACTTGAGCCACCACACCACTTCCCGGTTTTTTCTTTTTGCTTATGTGGTGCTGAGGAATCAAACCCGGGCCTCATGCATGCAAGGCAAGCACTCTACCACTGAGCCACCTTCCCAGCCCTGAACAAGTTTATTTTAAAGACTAAAACTCAGTTCTTACATATCAGAACCTCAAAGGGAAGTATTTCAAGAAAATCTAATAAAAATTTGACTTTTGGTATAAGGAATACTTTTAGTATGTTACAAGTGACTTTAAACTACACATATGTTTTAAAATATGTACTTAAGCCTTAATGCAAAATGTCAGGTTTTTCAGTACTCTTTTTTTTTTTTTTTTTTTTGTCGGTCATGGGACTTGAACTCTGGGCTTGGGCACTATCCCTGTGCGCTTCAGCTCAAGGTGAGTGCTCTACTGTTTGAGCCACAGCACCACTTCCAGTTTTCTGGTGGTTAATTGGAGATAAGAGTCTCACAGACTTTTCTGCCTGGGCTGGCTTTGAACTGTGATCCTCCTCAGTAGCTAGGATTACAGGCGTGAGCCACCAGTGCCCGGCTTCTCATTCTTCTTTAAATATTTGTAACTTTTACTAATCTAAAATGATACCATCATTCAATATGTGGCTAATATTGCTTCCTTAAAACTAAATTTAACAATCTAGAATAAAAAGCTCTGTAAGACTTTAAGAAGTAAAAGTAGTTGTAGAATGTCATTTCTTGCTGTGATGGAAGTAGTTATTCAGGTCAGACCTATATAAGTGTAGAATTCTATGTGGTACAAGTACAGGGTACAGAAAGGCCTGTCATAATGTCGTCATCTTCTGTTCTTCTGTATTCCAGCTTCCATGAATAAAGTTTTCTAAAATTCTTTCCAACTAAAATTTACACAGGAAATTCAAGTAGGAATCACATCTAACTTTCTACATTAACCCAAGGTTCGGAATAGAGTTTTCTATCTCTTAAAAATCTTAATTGATGTATAACCTAGCTCTTCTATCATATTGATCTATACTTGTTGAAGTGTTCTTTGTGCTTTGGTCCTTATATAATTTTTGTTTTTGTAATTCTTTGGTGTTTTGACCTAGCAGTTTCCTGTATTTCAAGACTCGGTTCTCACAAGGTTGTCCCAACATTTTCTGGCCAGAGTTGATAATGCTTTTCTTTTCTCCTATCTCCCTTTGCACCCACTTCTCTCTTACTCTGTGTATATTTATAGTCATTATATTCCACCAGGCATTTATTTCCCTCTGTTACAAGCTTGTAAACTTTTTGAACATCAGCACTATACGAAGTTTGTCTCCGTTGTCACTGTACCTAGCATAGTAGTTTTTCATGTTGGAATTCTTCATGAATGTTCTTTAGGTGATAGTTGGATAGATAAAATGAATTAGTTCAGAATATATTCATGAGTAGTGGTATAGTCTATTCAGAATGAACGTGGGTAGTAAGAATACTTAACACTTTAAGGATACAGTTTGTACAGCCAGTGTTGGTAGCAGCAAACACTGGTAGCTCCTGCCTATAATTTCAGTTACCCAGAAGGCTGAGATCTAAGGATGGAGGCTTGACGCCAGCCCAGGCAGAAAAGTCCAAGAGATTCGTATCCAATTAGCTAGTAATAATGCTGACCAGAGGCATGGTTCAAGTTGTACACTGACAGCTGTGAGCAAAAACACAGAGTGAGAGCAAGAAGCCAAGTTTAAGCCCCCATACCAGTACACAAAATAACTTAACAGGGCTGGGAAGGTGGCTCAGTGGTAGAGCGCTTGTCTTGCATGCATGAGGCCCTGGGTTCGATTCCTCAGCACCACATAAGCAAAAAGAAAAAAGCCAGAAGTGGCGCTGTGGCTCAAGTAGTAGAGCACTAGCCTTGAACTGAAGAGCTGAGGGACAGCGCCCAGGCCCAGAGTTCAGGCCCCACGACCAGAACCCCCCCCCCCCAAAAAAAAAAATAATTTAATAAAATTCCATCTTAAATGTATTTAGATAAGTATGAGTAAGTAAAGCAAGATTGTTGAGCGTTGACAGCAGACATTTTAATGAACTAAAAAATTATAAATACAACATCTAAAATTTTTTTTAAAACATCTGCACTTTTGTATTTTGTAGTGCCTCTACTTCTCACTCAGAGAATTCGGTGCATACAAAATCAGCTTCTGTTGTATCTTCAGATTCCGTTTCAACTTCTGCAGACAACTTTTCTCCTGATTTGAGGGTATGTATACTGTTGGAAAATTTCTGATGAAGTACCTGCTGTTGGTATTGGTGATCAGCTGCCTGAATATAGCCTTTAACCATTTACCAATATTTCAGTCAAGCCAGCAAATTTGCAGTGCTTATTTTATTCAGATATCCTCTATGTTGTTTTTGTTAAATATTATATTTAGTGATTGTTTCCTTAGGTTTCTCTGCTGTGACAATTTCTCAGACACTTCTTGTTTCTGATGACTGTCTGTCTTGAAAAGCATTGGTTGCATTGGCTGTCTGATACATTACTTGTTACTAAACTTGAGCTTTGAATTTGGGAAAGAAATGCATTTTCAGCACACTGTCCACAATTCACACATCAGCAAGATGTGTTACTATTCGTGTTAACTCTGACCACTGGTTTGAGATGGTGGTAGTACCCCCTTGTTCCAGTGTCTTTTATACTCTTGGGGAAAAAATTGCCCCAAACAGCCTATCCTAAGAAGTCACGCTCTACTTCCATAGGGTAGAATGTCTCCATACATTTATAAGGAAGTTTTCATGGGAGATTTGATTATCGACTCATGATATTTATGTTTAACTTTGTTACCATCTAAGACTACTTTCAGTGCTGTTTCCAACTCCAAAGCTGGGGATCTTTCAGTAAGATATGTCCTGCGATAGTGGTGTTAATTTGAGCACTTCTCTACTTTCTGGCACTACAAGATTCTGGTCATGTGTATTCTTGCCCAGAGTTACTACCCATTTTCCCAGGAACTGTCTCCTCCCCCTCTTCTTCTCCTCCCTTCTCCTCTCCTCCTCTTCTCTTCTCTTCTTTATCTCCTCTTTTCTTGTTTTCTCTCTCCCTCCCTCTCTCCAACATAAAGCTAGTGTCATATAATGTCACATTAAAAAAAGGAAAGGACATAAGCAGCCAATGATTCCTATGTGATAGATACTGAGCTGAAAGTATAGCTAGAGCATACAGAAGAGAGAACATTCTAGAGCAGTCTACATCATAAGTTAATACAACTTTTAATACAACTATTTAGGAGGCTGAGGCAGGCGGATTGCGAGTTCTAGGCCAGTCTGGACTGTATAGTGAATTTGAGGTCAGCTGAGACTGTCCAACACCTGTCACCTGTTTGTTTGTGAGACCCTGTCACAAACAGGGCTATTGCTTAAAAAAAAAATCTTTATTGGAAGATATTTACAAAAATAAGAACCAAGGAAAAATAAACTGGTTAGAAAGACGTAAACATCACTGGCAGAGAATGCCTAGAAAGGGAGGCATTTAGGGAAGACAGGTCCACATCAAGAGCTGTGAGCACAGACAGCATTGCCACATTTGGCTGAGAGGTAAAATCAAGGCTGAGGAATGACTTTGTCTTAAATGACACTCGCTATGGGTGATTTCTTCTCTGGAACAAAGCCTGGCTGCAGAAGGGTGAGGAATTGAAAGAGTTGGAGGAAGAAACTTACTGTGTGGCAGAGAAAAAAGTAGGGAGGGGGGAGGCGTTAGCATTGGACAGCTTGAGGTATGGTGTTCTTAGAAAATCCCTTAGAAAACCGTATTTGCATTCTCATAATGCAGTGTGGTCTTCTTCACAAGACAAGTGAACAGCTACTGTTGATCAGGAGTCTTCTTTTTTCAAAAAAATTCATGACATTATTTACAGATTCTCTTAATTGTTAGGTCTACCCAAGAGCTCAACTTCACCCAAATTTAAATGCACTCCAGGCCTTTGGATTGGCTTAATGGAAGGGAGTGGGCTTCAGAGTTTAGTAGAACTCTAATTTAAACTCAGACTGGTATTTCAGCTTGGTGATCTTGAATGAATTATACTTTGCCTGTTTCTCCTGATCAATGAAATAAGGACATAAAACTTCCTTTATTGTTAGGCTGTAGTAAATTGGATGTTAAACATATAAAGTTATAAAGTTGTATATGTGTGTGTGTGTGTAAGTGAGAATATAAGGTGTTCTTACAATGAGGTATCTGCTAAATGCCTTTAGAAAAACAACTATAAGTTGTAAACTATAAGTTTTGTAGTTTGGTTTAAGTAGTGTAATATAACTATCTACAAGCATGCATAATTAGTTGAAATTCAAATAAAGAAATAGCCTTTCTGTTTAAAAAGAAGCAAACTTGTTTTGCCTGCATCCCATCCAGGTCCTGAGGGAATCTAATAAATTAGCAGAAATGGAAGAACCACCTTTGCTTCCAGGAGAAACTATTAAAGATATGGGTATGTAATGGTATTTTTAAAAATTTCCTTCTTTCTGACTGTAGAAAAAATACATAAAGATAATAAATTTACTTGCAGAGATACCTCTTCCCTTGACTCAAAGCAAATACTCATAATGACCATAGTAGCCTAAGTATCAGTCTTATATTTTCTATAGTGATTTCAACTTTAGAAGCATTTTGTATATATTACCACTTGAAAACAAAAGGAAAGGGAGCCCAAAAGCATGTCCCCTTGTGTGGGTTACAAGATAATAAGCAGATTTCTCTTGCATAGGTAAATTGGCTCTGAAGGAATTGAGGAAGGTTTTTAGTTATACTGAATAAAGTTTTCCTAGCTTGCAAGGCAAGTCTCTATCTCTATATAATGGTAGCTTTATTTAATTTTAAAAACTTTAATTGAAACATGCATTGGAAGCCATGATTTGAAAACTAGCTCATAGTTGAGTATTCTTGAGGGAACAGTTCTGAAGGTTAGAAATGATTGTTATAACATCATTTTAAATTCTATATGAAGGCAGTGCTTCAAAGTGATAAAGAAGCAAATCCAGGGTATTATGAACACTGCCATTTTAAATAATACCTTGAACTAGTGGTTGCTAAGTTAGCCTGCTTTATCTATGAAAAGCATTACTACTTCATCTATGAAAAGCATTAATACAACACTGTGAAATATGAAAAGCATTTAATACAACACTGTGTTGAACAGTTACTTGGTCAGGATTATAATATCCACTTGTTTTTGTCTGTTTTGGAGCTTGAACTCAAGGCCTGGGCAATGTCCCCGAGCTTTTATTGTTCAAGGCTAGCACTCTACCACTTTGAGCCACAGTGCTACTTCCAAATATCCACTTTGTTTAAAATTGCTTTATATATATTTGATTTCACCTACAATATTTTCCTCAGTTATAACCAGATAAGTAATGTGTGGCATTACGTTGGGGATATTGTATTTTTCGAGCTATGCTGACAAACTAGACTGTGGCTCAAAGATAAGGAGATTAGTGCTATGGACAAGAAACAGTGATAACGATGAATGTACACTCTGCCATGACACACATAACAACCAAGGATAACTGTCATTAGTGGCATAGCCACATCATTTCTAGTCCACAGGAATAGTGTTGTCTTCTGTTTCTTTCTGTTCTGTCTCAGAAGAAGAGATAGGCCCTCTACCCCTTCACTCCTTCCCAGTTACTCTATATTCCTTCTCACATGAGTGGATAAGATTCTCAGGTTTTGGGAATCCTCAGTGCTGTGTTCTTTTTAGTGTAGTTAAGCCTAGCTATCAGAATAACATTATAAGATGAAGAAGCTACAATGGGGCACAATGTAAACTGTGGATGTGTTATATCTTCTCAGCTAAAGATGTAACTTATATATGTCCCTTCACTGGTGCTACACGAGGAACGCTGACTGTCACCAACTACAGACTGTATTTCAAAAGCATGGAGCGGGTAAGACTCATGGGGTCAGTTTTGTATCTGTGTGTGGTACTATAAGTTGTAAACTATAATTTTTATAGTTTGGTTTAAGTAGTGTAATACAGCTATCTACAAGCATGCATAATTAGTTGAAATTCAAATAAAGAAATAGCCTTTCAGTTTAAAAAGAAGCAAACTTGTTTTGCCTGCATCCCATCCAGGTCCTGAGGGAATCTAATAAATTAGCAGAAATGGAAGAACAGTTTTGTTCACTTCTGGTCATTTGTAATGTTTTTTAACTTGTATATGCAAGATGACTACCACTGAGCTAGACCCCTAGTTCTCTGGTTAAGACTTCTATCTTATATAGTATCAGTTGCTCAATTTTGTGTTTGCCTTTTTCCTCCTAGGATCCTCCATTTGTTCTAGATGCTTCTCTTGGTGTAATTAGTAGAGTAGAAAAAATTGGTGGTGCCTCTAGTCGAGGTGAAAATTCTTATGGACTGGAAACTGTATGCAAGGTAAATTTTATAATATGTATACAACTTTATTCCTTGTGAAAAGCTTTGTATCTGGAAACTGGTTTTCAAGATAGCAAATGAATTGCATAGTAGAATTGTCATTCTAGTAGAAGAAAACTAAACTTATACTTCTCTGGTTCACCATCAGTATCCTTCCTTTCTTAACTCTCTACCAGTGCCCAAAGTAAAAGAAATAGCACATCCACAATCCTAAATTGTTTCTTTTGATAATCTTTTTTTGGCAGGGAGGAGGTGGGGGTGGGGAAGGAGGGTGGTTGGCCATGGGACTTGAACTCTGGGCCTAGGCGCTGTCCCTGAGTCCTTCAGCTCAAGGTGAGCCTTTTAGCACTTTGAGCCACAGTGCCACTTCCTTTTTTTTTCTGGTGGTTAAAGCCAGCCTGGGCTGGCTTTGAACTGTGAGCCTCAGATCTCAGCCTCCTGAGGAGGTAGGATTACAGGCATGAGCCACTGGTGCCGGGCTCTTTTGATAATTTGAGAAGTTAATTTGAATTTGGTATAATGATTTAATCATTGTTTTTATGGTTTTTGTTACAGTCATAGCTGTCAGCTTTGTGTCAGTGAAACCTGTTGGTGTTGATATAGGGGGAGGGAGAGGAGAGTGGTAGAGGGTGAGATTGGAACACAAGGTAAATGTGTAGAGCTGTAGCAATGAAATTGCCCCTTTATAACTAGAACTAAGCTAAAAGAAAAGGGTTTTTACTAGGGTAAACAAGATCTCGACTTCAGTTCTTAGCACATTTTTATTTTAAGATATGATAAAATACCATTTTGGTTCTGGATCAGACTTTAGTACACTAGTATTATACATGCATTATAGTATAGTGATTTTACACAATGATAATAAAGCTAGTTCAAATTCTACCTAGAATACAACATTTAAATAAAATGGATAGCCTTGAAATTATTCTTGATCTCATTTTTTTTTTTCTAAGTGTTGTTAAGATATCAGTCCACAAGGGGCTGGGACGATGGCTCAGTGGTAGAGCGCTTGCCTTGCATGCATGAGGCCCTGGGTTCGATTCCTCAGTACCACATAAGCAGGAAAAAAAAAAAGCCGGAAGTGGTGCTATGGCTCAAGTGGTAGAGTGCTAGCCTTGAGCTGAAGAGCTGAGGGACAGCGCCCAGGCCCAGAGTTCAGGCCCCACGACCATATCCCCCCCCCCCAAAAAAAAAGATATCAATCCACAGGAACATGAACATCTCTTATTAGCTGAAGCATAGAAAATTGCTTATGGACAAATAATGAAAGAGCCTGTCTTTATGTCTGACTATGGAGCCTGAAAGATATTAACCAAACTATTCAGAATTTTCATATTGGAGAAAAATAGAAGATCTCAGGCAAAGTTTGAGTCTGTCAGTCTAGCAACACGGGTTATTAGGAAGTCCAATAGAAATGTGTCCTAATAGGAATAATAAAGTAGGGAAATAATCACTAGACACAATGAAAATGTCATTCCAAAGAAACAGGTTTTAATAGGCAAATCCTGACAAAATAGGCATTCACGGGAAAGAACATGCACTGGTAGTGTGTGTTAGTCATGATACTAAGCTTCAGATGCAGTATCTCTAATCTCCAAATTTTTTCATCACTTGTTTCCTCTCTCACTGGCTGGCGTTGAGTCTGAAAGTATAGGTAAAATTTCTTCCCTCGAATCCTGCCTTGGTTTCTTTTTCTTTTCTCCTGCTTCCAGGAGCTGCCCTCTGTTTTTATATTGTTTTTCACAGATCTTAATGGTTTTTTGTTGTTGTTGTTATTGTTGTTGTTGTTGTTGGTTGTGGGGCTTGAACTCAGGCCCTGCACACTGTCCTTGAGCTCTTCTGCTCAAGGCTAGTGTTCTATCACTTAGAACATGGCACCACTTCCTGTTTTCTAGTGGTTTAATTGGAGCTGAGTCTCACGGACTTTCCTACCCGGGCTGGCTTTGAACCATGATCCTCAGATCTGAGCCTCCTGAGTAGCTAGCATTACAGGCGTGAGTTACCAGCACCCAACAGTCTTAATGTTTTATTCAGTAGTTCCAAGTAATCTTATTTATTCATTAAATAAAACAGCCAAATAATGATTAACCTGGTTTCTAAATCTTTTCTAGGATATTAGGAATTTACGATTTGCTCATAAACCTGAGGGGCGAACCAGAAGATCTATATTTGAGAATCTGATGAAATATGCGTTTCCTGTTTCTAACAGCCTGGTCAGTTCTCATCTTTGAGGATGTGTAAAATGATTAATTAGGTTATATAGGATCTATACATTTAACCAGCTGTAAATAGTAATTTAGGTTTAAACTAACCTTTTGGGCCAGTTTGTTTAGATAGGAAAGATAGCTCATTTCAGAGTATCTCCAACTGAAACTTCTTGTAAGTATGTGAACTTTTAATCTAGAAGACTCCATGATTAAAAGCTATATATGGTCTTCATTAAGATTTAAAATCTCCTTTTTAGTTGGAATCTTAACTGTAAGACAGCAAGTTGGAACAGTTGTTAGTGTGCCTCCATTGTTCCCCTTCTTATCCCAGCTACAGAGATGAAACATTGATCATGCTCTAGTAGGGAGGAAAATTTGAATGCCGCACTGCTCCTTTTACTCTTAATGGGTTTTGTTTTTTCTTATAACATGGTTGGATCTCTACCAGTAAGTCTATAAAAATGATATTTTTTAATTCAAATTATAAGCCAAAAACAATTCCGTTTAATGTTTTAGAAAATGTAGAAACGTCAGAGCTTCCTCATCACTGCTGGTAACTATGATGTTATACTGTTAGGTACAGGAGAAGATCCTTGTTTAAAAATAAATTTCATTATTTAGAATTAAGCCTCATCATGTAGAATTTAGAATTAACCTACAAAACTAACAAGGATATCAGAAGGAAATATGATGCTAACAGTTGGTAAATTTCTTGGGTTGTTCTCTGTTTTTCTGTGCTTCAGAAAATATTTAAAATAATGTATTTTAAAGTACAAACCAAAAACTAAAACAACATGAGAAAGCGCCAAAAATATTTTTGCAGATAAAAGTATATTAAAACAGAAAAGTTAAAATTTTTAAAGGATGTATTTCTGACTTATAATTTTATTACGTGACTTGTAACTATCATCTGTTTATATAGCCTCTGTTTGCTTTTGAGTACAAAGAAGTATTCCCTGAGAATGGGTGGAAACTCTATGACCCTCTTTTGGAATATCGAAGGCAGGTATGTACTTCTTAGTTTTTCAATATTAGTGTTCTGTGTTCTTTTCATTATAAAGAAAAATGGGTAGAAGAAGAAAACCAGGCTTGGGGTTGTTGGTTTTTTTTTTATGAATAAACACTAATCCTGATTGGTTACCTTTCACTTTCTTTGGACTGCTTTCCAGAATGTCAGTATCTCTTATGAACTTTTATGAAACTCATCTGAGAATTTAAAGTATTAGTTTATTTAAAAATGTTAATCCTTAGATAAAAAATAAGGAAGTCAAGTAGGCATATATGCTTCCATATTTTTATATTCCACTTAATACTCAGATTTTTATTTAAATATTCTATAACTGAAAATTTTCTTTATAATTGTTCTGCTTATAACTGAATTTTTGAAGATTTTCTGTCTTAATAGATGCATAGTGAAATTCCTGTTATGGGTATGTTAAGCACAGCATTGATTTACTTTGATCAGTATGTAAGAAGAAAGTCCACTCGTCGTTTTGACTGATTCTATCACATCTTTTATGTGCATATTAAGCACTATTGGTGACCTCCTTCTCAAATGTTTTCCATTTGTGGATATTTCTGATACCTGTTTGCCCCTTTCTTCTCTTGCCTTTTCTTCTGAGACCGGTTTGCTTTTTAATTCTTCACCAGTGTTACCAGCTTCTGAAGGAATCCTCTGTATTTCCTTGGTATTTTTCATGCTCCAAAAAGGAAGGTATTCTACATCTGTTTTCTCCCTGCTGTAGCCTCTGGATGGAGGGTAGTGCTTGGCATGTATTTGACAATAACTGTTGAAGAGCATGAAGGAAGCTTATTTTGCCTGTAGTTTCTGAATCTATTTGTCAACTAACAAATCTTATTTATGTATTGATATGTTCACTGAACCATGTGGTACACTTGTATAGGGTACATAGGTATGCCAGGATTTTTCTTAAGCATTTCCTAAATACTAATTCATTTGTCTATCTTGGTTCTGTGAGCAAGGTACTAGTATCTGCACAGACTACATGTAAACTGAAGATAGGAATTGGGGACAAAGGTATTCAGTGTGGAAACTAAGATTTGAGTTCAGGAAATCTGGCTCTAGAACCATGTTCTTCATTATGACACTTTTTCCCATTATCAAAATCGTTTTTATAAAAAGACAGGTTTCTGATCCTGAGAGACTGTCTCTTGTAAAGAAAATTTTCCAGAGTAGTTCTAATAAAAGTTCACCCATTAGTGAGAAATGTGTACATTTGTGTTACATAATTAGAATGATACAATCTAAAAACCGGCTGTGATTGAGGACACTGTCCAGCACTCACACGGTGTCTTGCAAGGCAGGCTTCTCTCGCAGATGGTTTGGCTCCAGCTGCCATAGTCCTGACCAGGACGTCCTACCTGTGGAGCTTTTGTATATCTCTGTGTGCATCACAGACTTAGCCTGCATAGCATACGTGTACAAGGTTCTGTACTTTTCTTTTTGTGCTCAATAGAGTTTGAAGATTCTAAGCATTACAGAACAAAGCTTCCTTTTTCAAACTGAGAAAGCTCAAATACTGTAAGATTCACTCTAGTTTTCAGCCCACTGGTGTTTTGTAGACTCATAGTTTATGCAGATGTCATATTCTAATTGTAGACCAGTGAAAAGACTTGGGTTTGGACTTATCTTTTACTGACTCTCATACTACATATGCGATCTTGAATGAGTCATTTGTGAACTAGTGCTTTCATTTTTGCTGGTGCCTGTGGGGTCCTAGGATTCATCGTCCATCACTTTCTATAAGGACAGTATATGCTGATTCACTTATCTGCTGGAAAGGCAGAAGTTTCATTAAAATACCTTCTCTTCCTCCAGTTCAGGTTTCCTTGGTATTTCCCCATTGCCCGCTACCTGTCAGCTGCTGAAATAGTCTTTAGCCAAGGTACAAAACAGAATCATTCCTGGCTTATTTTTTAAGTAGTTGTATTTATCAATAATAAAATGAAAAACAGATTCTCCAAAGAACAACGGTATTTATTTGGAAAAGCAGAGCATTGTATTGTTTGTGTACACATTTGAGAAGCTGAGACAAGAAAGAAGTTGTGAAAGTCAAAAGAGAGGAAGAAACAGCTCAGGACCACAGTGAAGGTAGCAACGGTCTCAGGATTGGGCAGGTAGCCTTGTAGAAGCACTGGGTTAGTTGCACCAACTTGTGGTTCAGCAGTTGTATCACAGCCGCCTTTTCACAAACTCCCGCCTTTGTTCAGGCCTGCCTGGGTCAGGGTTGACTCAGGCAACTCCAATTTCATTCTGGCAGCTTCAGGTCACCTTGACTTTGAAGCACTGTAAAAAAGTCAGTGAGACCTCCTCTTCCCCAGTTCTCAACCAGCAAGCCAGGCTTGGTGATACACTGTGTAATCCCAGCTATGCAAGAGATTTAGATAGTTAGGTCCAAGATCTGAGACAGGCCCTTAGCCAAAAATGTAACATCTTATCTGAAAAATAAAAGGAAAAAAGGCCTGGGGTTGTGGCAGCCTAGCAATCAGGAAGCCCTGAGTTCAAACACCAGTAATTCCCTCTGCAAGAAAACAAATTGCTTGCTTGAAATACCAGTTTTTAGAACTTGCTGGTTATATTTGCATCATGCCTAATCACTTAGGTCATGGGGTGCAAATTGGGCCCAAGCTAGAGCAAGACAAATAGGCCAGGGATAGAAGAAGTCTCCATGGAGACTATCTGCCATGTGACACTGGCTGCAAAAGGATTGTTTTTCTTCAGAATTTTAATGTCATCTGGCAAAAGCTGGAGGAGCAGTACTTTAAGGGAAACTGCTTTCGACTGTTTTGTATATTATAATAACAATCAGAGCAAAGCAAGCACATTTTTCCTCATAATGGACTCTTGTAAATAGGATAGGTTGGGAAGGTGCATGTATCTGTACTACTTCCTAATGAGTAGCTTTGGTCAAATCACAAACTGCCACCACTTCTTGTACAAAATGACATTCACAGGGCTGGGAAGGTGGCTCAGTGGTAGAGCACTTGCCTTGCATGCCTGAGGCCCTGGGTTTGATTCCTCAGCACCACATAAGCAAAAAAAAAAAAAAAGCCGGAAGTGGCGCTGTGGCTCAGGTGGTAGAAGCGCTAGCCTTGAGCTGAAGAGCTGAGGGACAGTGCCCAGGCCCAGAGTTCAGGCCCCACCACTGGAACCAAAATGACATTCACTAGACCTGAATGTGAGTGTGTGCACATGCCTACATGCAATAGATAGCACAGCACCTGCATGTAATAGATGCTCAAAAGTATATCTGTGGGACTGGGAAGGTGGCTCAGTGGTAGAGTGCTTGCCTTGTATACATGAGTCCCTGGGTTCAGTTCCTCAGTACCACATAAGCAGAAAAAGCCGGAAGTGGCACTGTGGCTCAAGTGGTAGAGCACTAGCCTTGAGCTGAAGAACTGAGGGACAGTGCCCAGGCCCAGAGTTCAAGCCCTATAACTGACAAAAAAAAAAAAGTATATTTGTTGCTAGAATTTGGAAATTTGGTATTTTATCACGTAGTTGTCTTTTGTTGTTGTTGTTTGATGATGAGTTTTCAGGGATCATAAAGGTTAAAATGTTTAGATTTTCTTATTTTATTAACCTGTATAAAGAAGTTTCTTAATTTCAACCATTTAGTGACTATATTTCCTATGCAAAAGAGGATGGAAATTTGAAGTATTTGTTTTGTGTGGTGCTGGTCTTGGAGCTTGAACTCAGAGTCTGTGTGCTGTCCCTGAGCTTTTTTGCCCAAGGCTAACCCTACCACTTGAACTACAGCTCCACCTTTTTGGTGATTAATTGTAATGTCTCATAGACTTTTTCTGCCCAGGCTGGCTTCAGACTGCCTCCTGAATAGCTAGGATTACAGGCATCCACCTGAGTATCTTCTTAATAATCCTGTATCTAAACTAGTACACTGCTTACAGAATAGTACATTGTGGAGAAGCTAAAAGCTTCCAAATTGATGGTGGTATAGCTTAGGGTAGAGCACTGGCCGTCTAGCACACACTCAATTCTGGGATTGATCTTCAACATTGTAAAAGTAAACAGCATCACAGAATAAACATGAATGAAAAGGCCCTGTTTTAAGCATTTCCCCTGCCCTCTGTCAGCCTTACCTTGTTCTCTTGCTTCACTCCTGTGCCTTAGATTAGCAACATTATATCACTATTTCAATGCAGAGTAGAAGAAACTTAAAGATCAATAGAAAGCCCATGACTGGGAGAAGATCTGCACTAGCCAAACAAAAGTCAAGGGTCTCATATCTAAAATATACTCAGAACTCAAAAAATTAAATCCCCCAACAACAAATCTTCAAAGAAACAACTGCCCAATAAATAAGTGGGCTGAAAACTTAAAAGAGAAACTTCTCTGAAGAGGAAAGAAGGATGTCCAATAGACACATGAAGAAATGCTCAACTTCTCTAGCCATAAAAGAAATGCAAATCAAAACAACATACCTCACCCCAGTTAGAATGGCTATAATCAAGAACTCTAATAACAGACGCTGGAGGGCATGTGGACAGAAGGGAACCCTACTGCATTGTTGGTAGGAGTGTAAACTTGTTCAACCACTCTGGAAAGCAGTATGGAGGTTCCTCAAAAGGCTTCACCTAAACCTCCCCTATGACCCAGCAATTCCACTTTTGGGCATTTACCCAAACAATCACAAACAAGACCATACTAAAGCTACCAGCACCACTATGTTTATTGCAGCCTTAATATTTACCATAGCTAAGATATGGAACCAACCCAGGTGAATGGATCAAGAAAATGTGGTATTTATACACAATGGAATTCTATGCCTCTATCAGAAAGAATGACATTGCCCCATTTGTTAGGAAATGGAAAGACTTGGAAAAAAATTATATTAAGTGAAGTAAGCAAGGAAACAATGGTCCCATGTTGTTCTTTATTTGCAATAACTAGTATATGTCTAGCACAAGCAGAAAAGGTCAAAAGCTATGTACATATGACTATATAAAATGATGTTAAGCAAAATGAACCCCAAGATAGAGACACAAGTGTTTTTTTCTTTCTTGCTATGGTTTTTAAATGTATTTATAATGTCCAATGTGATTTGTTTGATTGTTTGTTTCTTTGGTGTGTTCTTCCCCCGTGGTATAAATACCCTGTCTTCACTATATTTGATTCCAGTGTCCTACATCTTGAATATACATTTTTCTAATTTGGGGAGGGGAAGGGAAATAATGAAATGCTGAAACACGGGTACAGGTTGACCCATTGTAACAATGAGATGTACAAGACACTATGTTGAAAATGAACTTTACAACTTGGGGGTGGGGGGAGTTGGGGAGGTTGGGAGGGAAGAAGGGATGGTAGGGGAAAAACAAAGGAGGGATAACAGTGCTCGATAGGAAATGTACTTAGTACCTTACTCATGTAACTATAATCCCTCTGTACAGTATCTTTATGATAAAAAATATATTTAAAAAAGAGAAAAAGCTTGCAAGTGATAGATGTGGAATATAGCTTTCTGAAATTTGCTTAAAGCCACTTCTGTGAAATTTGTGTACACGAATAGCAGCATTCTAATTAGACTAATAGCATTCTAATCAGACTGAGACTGTTCTCTTTTGAGATAGAAGGAATATTGGCAGTCCCACCTTCCCTATGTTGAAAGGTCTAATCCTTAAAGCCTGGCCACCACCCCAGGAAGTCACTATTCTAGCTTAAGAATTGACTGGAGGAGATGGGAGAGGTTGACAAGGATGGTGACTGCCCTGTTGTCTTGTAATGTTTCATTTGAGAACTGGTCTTTTATTTCATGTATAGGGCATTCCAAATGAGAGCTGGAGAATAACAAAGGTAAACGAGCGCTATGAGCTCTGTGACACATACCCTGCCCTCTTGGTGGTGCCAGCAAATATTCCTGATGAAGAGCTAAAGAGAGTGGCATCCTTCAGGTCCAGGGGCCGAATACCAGTAAGTGGATGCTTGGGCGGGGCTTGCTTTAAAGATTCTTTCTGCTCCCCCTGAGGCTGTAGGAACTGGAGCATGGGAGCAGCAAAGCCTTTATAGTCCGCATGGGAACATTGGAGACTGAGTTATTTGCTAAAATTAAAACTAAATTTAAAATCTGTAAACAGTAAAATTAAAAATGCCTTGTACTTAAGTTGAAAACATTTTCCCTATACATACTATCTCTATCTTAGGCATGTTTATATGGTTATAATGTTCTTTTCCATTAAATCCAAAAAAGAAATGGAGAATGATGATCTAGAAATATCAATTCAAATAATTTTAGTCACAGAAGCCACAGATTGTGAAGACTTAGTTACTTTAGAGCTTTACTGATTAAAGTAATAAAATCAGAACATTAAGGTTACTTAGCCTTGTTTTGATCTATTATTTTTCTAAGAACACTTTCCAATAATCAGTGATTTCTACAGATTAGTATCTGCTTAAGAATTAGACCAAGTTTTCCAGATGGTAGTGACAGGTGACTTTTCCTGACAGGCAGTTGTCCTCTTATGGCCAGTCTTTGGATCCAGAGAAAGAAGAGCATTAAAGAAGGGTTTGGGAATTACAATGGAGCATGTGTTTTCCTTCTCCCCTCTGTAGGTTTTGTCATGGATTCATCCTGAAAGTCAAGCCACCATCACTCGATGCAGCCAGCCCTTGGTAGGAGTGAGTGGGAAGCGAAGCAAGGAGGACGAGAAATACCTCCAGGCCATCATGGATTCTAACGCTCAGTCCCATAAAATCTTCATTTTTGATGCTCGGCCCAGTGTTAATGCCGTAGCCAATAAGGTGAGATGTCTTTTAGTCCTGAGGCTTTATAACTGCAGTTTTCACAAGCCAGGTAGACCCACGTTCTTATCTTGGCTCCTCTACGAGGCGTGATTTTAAATTTGTTATTTAATATTTCTGAAACTGAAAGTATATGAATTAAGTAGCTAAGGCAGATACACAAAATATCTTAAAACACTGCAAACTCTGAGGGATATAACCATTCAACTTTGATTATAGTTCCAGACCTGTATGTTTTTGCATGCACAAATTTGAAACAGTGAGATAATTTTAATTTCCTTTTAAAAATTATTAGCACTATCTTTCTATGTCAATGAAAATTCTTTTGTAGTATCATTTTACAGTATGATAACTAGACTGAACTGTTGTTAGATATTTAGGTTGAGTTTTTAAACAGTGTTATGGAAAACATTCCTAATTTTTCCTGCCCTACTCAGGTTTTTGAGGGCCTGGTGAGTTCCAGGCATCCTAAAATAAAGGCATCCTTTATTTTAAAAAATCTCTCCTAAAGGAAGTATGAGGGAGGAGAATGGCATTCTAAATCATGTTAATTATGGATAGAAATGTGAAATGAAATAATTGTCAGTGAAGACTTAGCTAGAGATCTGGCAGATATTCTCTCAAGAACTGCTTGTTCTCCTCCCTGAGCTTTGTTCATTATCTGGTGGGAGTGAAATTTAGGGTTATTTTCTAGGACAAAAGGGAAGGGAGAAATACGAGGCAGAAGTGGTGTTAGGGTAGGGTGTTAGATTCCTTATCAATCTTTCTTTAAAAATCATTCCTACACCATTCTTCACCTTGGATTTTTTTTTTTTCCTTTCCTTGTTGGTCCTGGTACTTTGATCTCAGGGCCTGGGCACTGTCCCTGAGCCTTTGTGCTGAAGGCCAGCACTCTACCACTTGAGCCACAGCACCACTTCCAGCTTTTTCTGAGTAATTTATTGGCAATAAGAGTCCACAAACCTTCTTTCTCAGGCTGGCTTTGAACCTCATGGATTTCTTCTTTAGTTTACAAATATGTCCCTTCAGTCTGCATAGTGGAAATACCTTTGTAGCCCAGTGAATTATATATGACACCTACTCTTGGAATCATGACCCATGTCAAGAATTAAAACTGCCAGCTATTAAGTTCTTCATGTAGACCAACCCCAGTCAATTTTTTGCATTAGCTCTGCCAAAAGTAGCCACTCTTCTTTTTATAGTAATTTTCTTGTATTTTTATAGTTTTATTGTCAAAAGTTGGCATCTCCAGACTCTAGTTGTACCTTTAAAAATACTCAGTGTGTTTCACATCTCAACCTACAGCCCCCTCACCTTTGTGTAGACTGTGGTTATTAGGATTTGGTGAGTATTTTGGTTTTTGCTGTTGTTTTTGTATTGGGGATTGAATCTGGTTGTTGGGCAGGTGCACAACTTGAACATTGCCCCAGTCCTGCTTTTGTTTTTTTGAATTAAAAGATCTTGATAACTTTACCTAGGTTGGTCTTGAACTCACAATTGTCTTGCCTCTACCTCTCCAGTAGCTGGGCTTACAGGTAGGTAGATGCTGCACCAGCTAGTCCAAATTTGTCTTCCGTAGGTTTCTAAGAATTATGATTTTATGCCTAAGTATATATTTTCACAAAACATAAAAATACTAAGTCTAGAAAAAGTTTTTCAGCTATAGTTTAGTTTGAAAAACTTAAGATGTACATTGTACATTGAAATCTTTGAAGATGGTAGATATACTAGATAGCGATGTTTAGTATTCTATTATGTGGCTAATGTATATGCAGATTGTGACGATCAGTCTTGATTTGCCAACTTTGACTGGTGTGAGAACTGCCTAGGGTATTGGTGAAGTGTACCTCTGGTTGTATCTGAGGGCATTTCCAGAAATCATTAGACCACAAGGGCTCTGACCCAGTACACTGATGGCCTGGAACCGTCTGTTGGGCGGTGAACTGTGCAAGCTGGGGGCTGGTGGGAAAGGTGGATTGTTGAGGGTATCTTTGATGTCATTTGGCCCTGGAACCCTCCTGTGTTAATCACCACCGACCTGAAAAACTCTGGCATCTCTGAATCCACAGACAAATAATAATTCTCTTGACATTTGGTAGATGAATGCTGACAAACATGAAAGCCATTAGGGTTGCAAAGACTTTATTTTGCAACTATTAAGAGTAAATGAGGAACCGCACTGGCAAAGCAGGCCTAAGACCCTTGTACCTGAAGCCTAGTCTAATGGTGTAGGTATGAAGGGAAGGGGGGGGGGGGGGATTTGCAATTAGAAAAGCTGGCTCTTGAAAATGTTTATGTACTTGCATTGAGTGTTAAAAGCCACGAGGGTAAATGCGTGTTTCAGTTAGGTTAGTGAGCCAGGCTAACCAAGAGCCTGAGCCATCCGCAGTCCTGTATTGAGTATTATGTATAATCTATGGTGGCTCTCCACATCCAGTGGCTTGTGATGTCACTTACCGGTTCCCATCATGTGCCCTTGTTACAGGCCAAGGGTGGAGGTTATGAAAGTGAAGATGCCTATCAGAATGCAGAGCTGATTTTTCTGGATATCCATAATATTCATGTTATGAGAGAATCATTACGAAAACTTAAGGAGATTGTGTACCCTAACATTGAGGAGACACACTGGTTGTCTAACTTGGAGTCTACTCACTGGCTAGAACATATTAAGGTGTGTATATGCTACTATGTCTCAAGGAGTTTCTCTACCTTTTATATTGCCTCTTGCAATTGAAACATTGTGAAAGAGACCTTTCTAAACAGTGGAAATTAGGTGACTGCTCTGATAACTGGCATTACTGTTTTGATGTTTGAATGCATTTGGTTCTGTTGTATTCATTTTCCACCGTATCTGATTTCTACCCATCCTTCAGACTCCATTGCATTCTTTCATGAAGTCTTCCCAGGTTGTCTTTATTTACATTTTGTCCTTTTTCTTTCCATTTAACCCAGGTAATGTTGTCCTTCATTTATTTGCTTTTATGTCACACAACATATGAAGAATCCAGACTTTGTTAGGGAAGCACTGCTAATATGAGTAGGTATCCAGTAAATACTCACTGCATGATTTATGAAGTTAAAACCACCTGGTTGGAGAAATGAGGTGCAGTAATTACATGAAGGATAGAAAATACCATGCAAACACTAATATGTTAATTTAATGTTTGAAGCACCTAGCCATTTAATATTCTTTCCAAGGATGATCTAAATTTCAGTAATACAAATTACCAGGCTACCTATAGGCTATGAAATGAGAAATACATTTAAAGAGCAGATTTCCCATCTGAATTCTCTGAAACACAGAATTGAAAACGAAACTGATTTAATGAAAATTACAGCTATGAGCTACGCTACATGGGACCTGTTCATAGGCCCATCTGTGAAATTATAGAATGTGCTTCCAACCATAAGACTTGATTTCGAACTCATATAAATGCATGTGTTTCTGAAAATGTCCAGGTGATCAGTTGTGTCGGGGCACCATGCTTATCAAGAAGCTGGCTGGCTTTGCCTCCCAGCAGAAACAAGTCACACACACCCCTTCCATTCTCCAGCTCTGTCCAAAAATCCACCTTTCCAACCACTCCCCTGGAGCCTTCCCCATTCTTGGACATGTGGTGTGTTGTCCACTTCCTGGTTTGCAAGTGGTTATGCCCTACTACTACAAAGAATGCAAGCTTCACAAAGCAGGTAGTTCTGTAGATGTGTCTCTAGCACCCAAGGCAGTGGGCTAGAGAGGGAGGGAGATCCCTAAGTCTTTATGAATGAGTACCACTCTGGATCACTCTTCTCAGTTGGCCGTTGCTAACTAAGCCTTTGCATTAGTGATTACTAAGCCTGAATTTACATTTGTTCACAAATGGTTCTGAAACATAGGTTGAGGGTGCTTCAGAACACAATCAAACTCTGGTTTCTCATGAGCCTCCCAATCCTGGTCGTTGTGTGTACTGCCATACTGGTTTCAATGGTAGCTATACAGAAGGATGGGAACTACATTGTTTTTCTTGTGGGTACTGAAGTCTAAACTCAGTGCCCAGAGCTTGCCTGTTTGCTTGCTCAGCTGGTGGTGATAATACTTGAGTCACACCCCTAACCCTGCTTTTGGCTGGTTGGTTTTGAGGCAGATCAGACTTTTCAGCCTGGGTTGGCCTTACAGCCTCCTGAGAAGTCAGTAAGTATCATAGGCATGAGCCACTGGTGGCTTCATTACTCATTCTTAAGGATCTTTCGCTTTTGCATTTAGTTCTCACTCGGGACTTTGGAGAAAAGTTATTTTGCATATTGCTTCTCCATATTTCTCAAAGGGTTAAATATTCTGATACTAGAAGTTTTTATGCAGTACCTTACTGCAATGTTTTTATTATGCTTGCTGTTCACTATCTGACATGAAACATTTTAGTCTACACATTATTTTAGAGTAAGTCTAATTGATTGCTTTCAGGTACTTTGTTTAAATAATTACTTTAGATAGTAGAAACTTAGACTTGAATTAGCATAAGATTACTTTTGTTTGTATAGATGTTGACATACTTGATGATTCTTTAGAACTCAGTTTTTCTGAAGTTACTTGGATGTGTTTGGTAAGTTGTGAAAAGCATTTTAAAGAGGCCGATGCTCCTCTCTCCACTGGGCAGCTAATCCTGGCAGGGGCTCTGCGGATTGCTGACAAGGTGGAGTCCGGGAAGACGTCGGTGGTCGTGCACTGCAGTGACGGCTGGGACCGCACAGCACAGCTCTCATCCCTGGCCATGCTCATGTTGGATGGCTACTACAGAACCATACGGGGGTTTGAGGTCCTCATCGAGAAGGAGTGGCTGAGCTTTGGACATCGATTTCAGCTAGTGAGTAAAGAACCTTGACTGGTATGACAGGTAGGCCATGTGGCAGTGTTGACCTAAAACTGACGACTTCTCTAGAGAGGAATGAATACAATATTTAAATGTGACTGCCATCAGGCATCTGCCCCCATCTGTGAGGACTGCCATCACTCAGTAAGGTCTGTGGGTGTTTCCTACTCTAAAGAGTCAGTTAGGCAGCTCTTGGGAAGAAGAAGCAAGTTCCAGGCCAGCCTGGTTGTACAATACCCAAACAAAACAGTACGATGATGATAGAATCATAAAGCACTTCTAGCTTATCTGACAAGTTAAAAAGACAACAGTGGCTTCTATTTCTTAAAGAAGCTATACAGAACAGTATTGTTCACATAAGGGTTTTAGGTCTAAATGGGAGTAAAAATAAAAACTGAATTCAGTTGAGACTAAATCATGGCTTTCTATTATGCTTCCCAAGACAGTAAAACTCCAATGACCATACACATGCAAAGCAGCACGCTCATCCTTCACGTGGTAAGTCACACAGGAACACATTCCCCACATCCTCAGGTCATTCCATTACAAAGACAGAGTCCAAACACGTGTCTCGAGGAGAGACTTACTGAGGCTAATTTTTGCTGTTTTATCGTGTCACTGTAGCCCAATTACCAGCAGTGCTAACAAGCACTTGCTGACTTGGCTGAAGGCACAGAGGCTTCTACTTTATCACTTTTGCACCATTATTACAAATGCCAATGTGGGGAAAGGTAAATACTGTTGAGGGATTTTTTTTTTAAGTCTCTGGGTCACAATTTGAGAAGGAATCCCTGCTCTGGGGAAAGGAGCAGGGTTCTGTTTGAACTGGGTGAGTGACTGCAAGCTTGAGAGGCTGATCAGGTGCTTATGTGGCTTCTCCTATAGCAGCAATTCGCTCACTGGCTAACACAGTAAAAGAGAAGTGTGCATTCTGCTGCCCCTGTATGACACACTTATAAGGAGACTCTTGTCTCCAGGACTAATGTCTAAGCTTTGAGGGCCAGTCCATTATCAACCTTTTAATCGGGGTTTCATTTATTAAGCTTCCAGAATTTTTCTGGAAGTTTACATATGTCTCTAATTGGCAGAATTGTGAAAATGTCTACTTCCATATTGTGCTTCTGAACAACAATTTCTTGGAAAAATTTAGAAGTACCAACCAGATCTCTTTTCATTGTATTTACTTTTATTTTTTACTAATACTGTTTCACTTTGTGCTTCAGAGAGTCGGCCACGGAGATAAGAACCATGCAGATGCGGACAGATCGCCTGTTTTCCTCCAGTTTATTGACTGTGTCTGGCAAGTGACAAGACAGGTGACTTGCTGCATTTCTTTTGCGGGGACTGGTTTGCAATATAACGTTCTCCACTTTGAACTAATGCTACATTACTATGGATATGCTCAATTTTAGAGAATGATCTCTTTATTACCAAGAGAAGTTAGCTAAGTAGTTGCGTGATTTTAGCCATCTTAAGGAAATTGGATAGAAACTAACATGGTACATGACAAACACTATTGTTTTTCCAAAAGCTTTGTAATAAGTAGGTTTATCTGAACAAGGACCAATAGATTTAGCCTTTTGGGAAAATATTAGAAGTAACTGAAAAACACTTGGAAGAATGGTATGTTATGGAGAGGGGTAAAAAATATCCCCTATATAAATGCCTGCTAGCTATCTATCCAATGTATGGATGCAATTCTATTTTTATAAACTATGTATGCCTTTGATGTATGTATTGGGCTTCGGAGGGAAGGGGGGGGGGTGCTGCATATTTATAAGTTTAGCCATGTTTGCTATTTCCTACAGTAGGTTTGAAGTTCTACTTTGAAATATGAGCTACATGAATCGTATCAGACTTTGGGTATTGGCCCCCAAATAACAGGGTCCACTTTTGGCTGACTGTTGTCCTGTTTAACTATAGCAGAATTGCATCATTTACTTGGCAGGAGTTGTTTTGCCTTGGAGAAGACATCAGATTTGTGTACTTTTACCCTTGGTAATTTTGTTAATGTTCTAAAAGCAATGCTCTGTTACTGTTTTCTCTGTGAGGAAATGTTCACTGGTAAAGCTACCTATCCATAATTAGGCTATCAGTTTTGTCAAGATGATGAAAAACTTAAAAGCATGCTGGGAAGTGACGGCACATAGAACTGTTTTTTACAGCAGTTTCTCATTCAGCTGTGGAGTGCCACCTGAAAACTGAGGGCCTGGTTAACTTGCCCTTTAAGAAGTCTGTTAGATCACCTCACTGCTGTTATATGTTATGTATGCTGTCCTCTACTATTAAGGTTACAACTTTTCTCAACCAGTAATCTTGACATTCATGGAGTTCTTTCTCATAACCCTCTTAGTATAAGAAGCTTCTGGACAGTTTTGAGATGAAGCCCTTTGCCTTTGGGGGGGAGGGGAGTGTACAGTTCTTCAGTTACCCCCCCCCCCAAAAAAAAATGTTGTATAATAGTAGTAGTCTATGCCCAAGTCAAGACTCAGCAAGTTTGGGAGAGCAACATGATGAGACTTCCCCCAGCCACTCAAATAGGAAAGATTACCTCAGAAAAGCAAGAGATTGCTGGACCACAAACCAAGCCCAGGCCGTAATGGTTAAATATGTAATCTTGAGTGTGGTTTTTTTCTTATTACAGAGGGTCTATCTTTATAGGGATGTGATTTTTGTTTGTTAATGTGTGTGTGCTGTTCAACTTGCAGTTCCCCACTGCCTTTGAGTTCAATGAATACTTCCTCATTACCATTTTGGACCACCTGTACAGCTGTTTATTTGGGACATTCCTCTGTAACAGTGAACAGCAAAGAGGAAAAGAGGTGACGTATGAACCAGCCTTACTCCTTTCTGTACTTGCCCTCCAAGAGTGCACTCAGACTTAAACCAAACAACCCCTCTTCTGGTGTTTCGTTTAGGTACTACTTCATCTTACAAGTTGTAATACGCTTGTTTCCTTTCTAGACGTGGGCCTGCTCTGTTTTGAAGCACCTCTGTCATACTGCCAAAGGTGCCAGCCAACCACTGGCTGAATTTTGAGGAGATGGCGTCCCTGCTAAAGAGAAATGAGATCTTAGAAATACCATTGTCCATTATTCATGTAGAATGGAAATCCTTCAAAGGAGCTGCAGGAAATACTCATTACAATGGACAGCTCAACTCCCGAAATACTGCCTGCATATAAATCAGGGATTTTGTTTAAAGTTGTAGATGAGTACTGTACAAGACTCAAATCCTGAAGTGACAGAGGCAGGTGTGCCACACTTGGAATCCCAGAGACTGAGGCAGGATGATTTACAGGTTTGAGGGTAGCCTCGGGATCCTACCTAACCTCTTTTTTAAAGCATGGGTGGCATTGTGGCTCAGTAGTGGAGCACTTGCAGAAATACTCTGAAAGTACTGTTACACTTTCAATGTCTGGCCAGGAAATAAAATGTTCCATGCCTGGAGGTGCTTTAGAGAAAGTTACTGTCCAAGTCCGTTCCGCCTCCTGACAACCACAGAATGCCTCTATAAATTCCATGATTAAACAGCTTGTGGTAGAGGAATCTGTACTTATGTTTCCTTCCTACAGAATCTACCTAAAAGGACCGTGTCATTGTGGTCTTACATCAACAACCAGCTAGAAGACTTCACCAACCCCCTCTACGGGGGCTACTCTACTCACGTCCTCTACCCAGTGGCCAGCATGCGCCATCTAGAGCTCTGGGTAGGGTACTACATACGGTGGAACCCGAGGATGAAGCCCCAGGTGTGCTGGGGTGGATGTAGGGAGCGGGGAGGAGCTCACCTTGCATACTTTATAACTTCCCAGTGGCTCATGCCTGTGAGCCTAGGCAACTAGAAAGGTAGCTATGCAGAGATGAGTAGTTTAAAAGTTTTTGAGGTTTCACCTCAATCAATAGCAGTTGTGGTAATGAGTCATCCTGGCTACTAAAGGGAGGCTGAGATTGAGGAGGCCCCACCTCAAGAGGCTGGTTGAGGTTTGTGCTTGCCATCCCAGCTACACAGCCAGACTGGAGGAGGAAAGAGCCACACACACTGACTGCCTCATTCACAGGTGTGTAGTACAGTGGAGCGGTCATTGTCTGGGTTTTGTCCTGACCTAACTTGAGGTAAATTTCCACTTTGTGGCTTGCTCTCTGAAGAACAGCTAATGAAAAAGCCGGGTGGAGATACAGTTGAACCTGAACTTAATTTTGAACGCTGATTGCATTGGTAACTACAGAAGAACACTCATTGCATGTATGTTTTGCATTTGTAGGAGCCTATTCATAACAGATACAAGGAACTTCTTGCAAAACGAGCAGAGCTTCAGAAAAAAGTAGAGGAACTACAGAGAGAGATTTCCAACCGGTCAACTTCCTCCTCAGAGAGGGGCAGTTCCCCTGCACAGTGTGCCACTCCTGTCCAGACAGTTGTGTAAGAGGAGCAGAGCCTCACCACGGCAAACTCAGTGTAGGGCCACGCTGTGGCCTGTCTGGGGGGCGGTGGGAAGTCCAGAAGTGTGCAATGGATCTGTCCTTTACCTCGGCATCTGAAGATCAAAATGGGATAAAGCAAGCTACAAAGGAACGTGTTACGTGAAATCATCTAATATAGGGCCCTCAGTCTACAACAGATCAAAATCAAGTAACACTCTTTCTCCAGTTTTCCTTATAGTGTAAGTAGTAAAAAATTACTGCTGGCATTATATCCTACTAAAATAAAAAGCAGGGTGTTTCAAAATGACGCTTTATAAAGAGATGCTTCAGGGAGGAAGTGGCAGCCACCCATTTGTGCAGTTTCCACACTGTAATATGCTACTAAGATTGACTTTTCTGAAGTCTGTATAGATAGCTTATGGTAAGAAACACTATGCTCAAATTTTCACAAAATATTTTACTATTTTTTCCTAATTATACTGAGTGGTATAAGTCTACCAAAGAACACAATGCATGTAAAGAATTAAATATCAAGACCAGTAGAAAAAAAATCTTGCTTCACTATTCACCTGTAAGTTCGGTGCTGGTATATAAATATAAATATGACTCTGTATTAAGAGCCATATGTAACGTACTGTAACAAAGGAAAGAAATTTCATACATTGTCAATGTCCAAAGTTACCTTTTGCAGAAACGTTACTTGAAAATAATTAAGTGCATTTTCAAATGGAAATGCTCGCTTTCAGCACATTTGTCCTCTAACACCCAAATCAAATAAAAATCCACTATTTTTTTCAATCAATTTACTGTTGTCAGTATTATAAGTATACTTGGTAGTACCAAATGACTTGGTTGTTGTGTGAAATTCGTTATTTGTACTGCAGATATTTAAAAACAACTTATGTATTCCACTAATCTTTTGACACAGACGAATGATGAAAGATCAAAATGTCAAAACTCCTGTGTGCATGTATGAGAAAATCCCAGTAAAACCAACCTTACTACAGATAGGTGCTATTTGTAGCCTCTCACACCTCAACATACTTACATTCAGTTTCTACCTAAAAACTAGGGTCAGTGTGAAAATGCCACTCTTCAAAGCTTTCCCGTGATTTCCCATACCTCTAGGAGTGCAGAAGAGGATCCAAGTACAGAGCAGCTTCCATGCAAGAGACAGCCACATTGCCTACTAGGGCAGCAGTGTGCATGAACAAGTTCTGGCTGCGCAGATATGCTCCTTGTCATCAGCCCTACAGAATTTACAGCCCAGAGGCATCAAGCTGAAACCGTGTGCCTCACTTCCCTGTTCTCATCTGCATACTTACAACTCTCACAGGCCATCTATTGTCCCATATAAACTACAGACACTGCCCCCTTCCTCTCCCCGCCCCCCTACCCCCCCCTCCCTCTTTTGTTCATTCTTTCTTACTTGGACCAACTGTTCTTCCTTGAATTCAATTCTTTCAAGTTTAGGCATCCTCTCTACCCCACAGTCCTGTCCAGGCTACACTGCTTTCCTTCACCATACCACTGAGATAAACAATTCAGGTATCGACCACTAGCCTGTAAAAATAGATGCTGGCATATTGCACAGAAGTATTTTACAGGTGAAATAAAGCCATGCTCTATTATAAACTCGCAAAGAAAACTGAAGTAGTACTTTGTTTTTCAGTTCTTACCTGAGTGTCAAAAGCTGAAGTGCTTAAAGTTTGAATCCTACTTGAGGAATTAGGAAGAGATTTAACACTGTTCAATTAACTGTTGTCCTAATTACACAGTTATGCATATGAATGACCTGAAATTCAAATAAGTAGGTAATAGAAGTTTAATGGTTGAAATGGTGGTTGAGACAGAAGAAATATTTACCATATCACCAGAGCAGTTTCTCACCTCCATTGGGTCTCACTTGTCAATTCAGTGGTGTTGCAAACCCCATCAGAAAACTGCATACACAAGCAAAAGTTGACATACAGTTTCAGGAGATGCACAAATATCTCAAAATCTAAGGACATTAAATTAGTTAATTCTTAAGGAATTATTTATTCAATTTGAATTAATTCAGGAGTCTTGAACAAACCTACTGTCCAGTACCTGGAATAATTCACACTGGCTGTCTTTAGATAATCTTTAGCTTCTATGTCAAGTTAGCTCCAGGAAAGGGAATCATCAAAGCAGTTCCTGTGGTATGTGACCCTCAGTCTTATTACACACCACCAGACAGTTCACGCTTGTTCAGCTTAGCTTCTACATAAGAATAAGAATGCACATAATTTATTGGATACCATGTTCTCAGGCTTATCAAGATACTAAGTACCCTTTTTAGAAAAACATCCTTGAGAATTTACAACAAAGCCTTTGTTAAAGAGGCTGTTAAGGAAAATTTCACTATTTTTTTTAAAAAGCTTTTTTACTTCAATGGCAAATTTATAAAAAGTTAACATATCTTCATCTAATTTGTATTAACACAATTGACAACTGTGTGTATAGAGTTCACAGTGCATACCAAAAACTCAAGGGTTCACTGAGATTAAAAACCACAATGCCTTGAATAGCATAATTACAAACTGCAAACACTGGAGCTTTACATCTTCCCTTATTCTATCTCAAAATCTCATTTCATTAGTTTATCTTCACTTAAATGATTCTGTACTTTTTATAAGCAATGACGTAAAATGATCAGGGCTTTAAAAACATTCAGTGGATTAAAAAGTAACACAAGTCTAATAGTGATTAATGTCTGAGCTATCAAAAAAGCAAGACCAAATATCTTAAATATATAAATATTTAAATATAAAAATCCTCCATTACAGGTAGTAAAGGAAAATGGGTACATCATGCCCAGGGAAGATTTAAAAATGAGACTTTTCAAGGACACACTGCCTACAGAACAGCCTCACATTTTGAAATTTAAACATAATTTGTATGTCACATTTTGAAATTTAAACATAATTTGTATGTACAAAGATCTAGTTTTAAAAAAATCACATCCACAAGTAAAAAAATTGGTCATTTGTTTACAAAGTGCAAAATATCAGTACAGCAAATTCATCTCAAAGAAACAGTGCCTTTCCTGGCTTTTCATTTAAATGGTTTTAACATTTAGTTATGCTGAGTAACACAAGAAGCCTGCATATGAAGCTCCAGGCCCTTTTAATACCTGTTATTCATCCCAAATCCGGCAAGTGAGAACCCTGGAAAGTAAACTGTCAATATCTGATAGATGAGGTACACATTATCTGAATAAAATTTATGACCTGGTACTAATCAGTAATCCCAACACAGATTATTGCTTTGTAATGAATTCTGTATGGTTTGCATGTCCTTCAATAACTGCAGATTTTTCCTGCTTTTTTCTCCAGGTCTCAGTTTGGCAAAATGCTTCTTACTTGTGGTCCCTGTGACTCCAGGGGAACGGTTGCTGCTGTTTTCTTCTTCTTCCAGAGTCTTTCTGTTAGCTTTGGATTCCTTCTTCTGCTTATCCATCTTCTGTTTCTGCAGCTATACCAAATAACCAAGGCGGGAAAATAGGAGAATGTAATGAAAATCTTTTCTTCTGAGACTAGTACATTTGTTTCTGAAACAGTCTTGCCACATGGCCACGACAGGTATTAGGATTACAGGACTGCACCACCATGCCCAGATGCCATCAGTATTTAAAAAATAATCCTCAAACTAACACATTCAGATGAACATTTTTCAAGGTTTATTAGCATAAAGGCCTCAATTCAAAATAGAATCATTAAGTGCAAAGGAGGCTAGAAAACTCATGGAGTAGGCAAAAATGAGACACCTTTTTAAACACAAATTTGGAACATATGCCTTTCCCCAAAGAGACAAAAAAGAACCAAGCTTGTACCCTAGCTCTACCATTACAGGGAGGTGGCATGTCTTGGGAAAAGTGTATCACAACCCTTTCCAAGACTCCTCCTCTCTCCATTTTTACCTCTATTTCCAGAACATACTTCATAACGGATCACCAAAGCCAGTCTAGTTGGATTTTCCCTGGTGTGTGGGAAAGTGGGCACATTCCATGCCAGGAGGGGACTTAAAAATGAGACTTTTCAAGTAAATGTTGCCTGTGGCTAGCCCTAGGCCCATAATACCAACAACCGTAATAACCCAAATGAACAGGTGGGTTATGGTGTTTCTTTCCCGGTGTAAACTCTTAGGTGGACTTCATCAGTGCATCTAGATGTAAAAAATACCTGCTTCACATAACAAGCATGTACAGTAACTTGGTTTAGTTACACTTGACTTTCTCTTTTGGAGACAGAAAGCTTCTAGATACATTTTATGGTATTTGATTTGGATAAAATCAAGTGTTTAAATTCTTTTCAAGTTAAAAATAGTTTGTTACCTATGACACTTGTTGCCAACAATATTTTGAAAAAAAAAGGTCAACAGAAAATTGAATGAAGCAACACAATTACCTGGGCTTGGTATTTTCGAACTTTAGTTATCTGGCTGGCTTTTGCTTCCATTCTCCCCACGAGAGCCTCCAGCTCACACTCTAAGTTGTCTTTCAACTCCACAGTTGGTGACTCCTGGACGAGTTTTATAAGCTGCTGGTGATCACTATACACAGATCAAAAGCAGGTGTGGTTTATTCTGACCTTTACCCACTACATGGCTTTCTTTGGTGTTAAAAAAAAAAAGGTAGTTTTACAAGTTTCAAGAAAAACAAGTATTTATATTCAAATTTCACCCACAAGAACATTACATGTGTAAAAGGCAAAATCTAGAAAATACTGGTTTTCAAATGTGGTATCCTAACTCATGAGTGCAGTTTACTTAAATATGTAAAAGCTCTCAAAGAAATAAAACTATTAGAAAAGACAGATTTTACAGTTTTAAGGCCAGTCAAGAATTATGGTCAAAGCCGGGCACCAGTGGCTCACGCCTGTAATCCTAGCTACTGAGGAGGCTGAGATCTGAGGATCACGGTTCAAAGCCAGCCCACGCAAGGAAAGTCCGTGAGACTCTTATCTCCAATAAACCACCAGAAAACCGGGAGTGGCGCTGTGGCTTAAGTGGTAGAGTGCTCGCCTTGAGCTGAAGAGCTGAGGGACAGCGCCCAAGCCCAGAGTTCAAGCCCCATGACCGACCAAAAAAAAAAAAAAATTATGGTCAAAATTGTTCAAAAAAAGTAGGACCATTACCAAGAAGCTAAAAAACACCGAGAAACTAGCACTAAATGTAATTTTAAAAGGAAACTCACAAGCTCATTTGCCCAAATTCATCCTGCAAAGTCTGTAAGACTTCAGATAGCTCTTCACTGATGCTGCTGGAGGAGGGCGGCGCCATCAACTTCTTATTCTTACAACCCCTTGAAGACACTTGCTTTGCCAGAGGAACGCTGTTGACCACCCGATCATTGCACAGCACTTTGCTGTGCTGCTTCATGAGATGTAAGACATGCTGCACGTTGGCTACCACGGCATGGCTAGGACTGGTAGACTGAAGAGAGAAAAATGGTAAGTAACTATATCCTCTCATCCTGCCTTCTTTTTACTAACTGGGTAAAAATAAACCCCTCAAATGCCTAGGACACGAATCTCCCAATTTACAGAAAATTAATGGCCAGACCCCATGGATTTAACCTAACCTCAAGTGTCTGCAGTCCCTCTTAAGTTTCCAATTACTGCTACTTACTTGGTTTATCAGCCACCTCTTGGTTATAGGGACAAACTTCCCAACTGCTTTTCTCAGTCTCTTCTGTCTCAAGTTCCAGAGTGCTATCCTAAAATATTATTCTGACCACATTGTTCTATTTGAAATCCTCTGATTTAAGACTAGAAAGAGCCGGGCACTGGTGGCTCACACCTATAATCCTAGCTATTCAAGAGGCTGAGATCTGAGGATCATGGTTCAAAGCCAGCCAAGGACAGGAAAGTCAATTGTGACTCTTATCTCCAATAAACTCAGAAAAACTAGAAGTGGTGCTATGGTTCAAGTGGTAAGAGCGCTAGCCTTGAGCACAGAGAGGTTCAGGGACAGCGTCCAGAAAAAAGACTAGAAGAATCAAATTCCTCCACATGGAAAAGAGACACCTACACCACAGAGCTGCAACCCATACTCCCCGTTTCTGACCCCATCATCTCTTCTGCTTGGGGAACCGATCATATTTACACTTCTTTCACACAGTAACTTTTATACCATTCTTCAAACTCGGTTAAGGTTATTTTTGAAGGCTTTCTTAAAACGGCCAGTAAAACCTCAGTTTACCGAACACCACCTAGTCAGCAGTGTTCTGAGGAGCGGGCGTTCACTTACTCCCTTCTCTGTCTGCTTTCCCCCTCAGCACCAGATTACAGGTCACTAAGCTCATGCATGTCACATACAGGCTGTCAGAAAGGACTCCACCTTCAATCACTATGAGGTCAGGACTTGAGAATTCCTACTTTTCAAGTTTGCCACTTGATTCTGATCAGGTTTGGAAGTCACCGTGCCAAACTGAGCAGATCTTCTAAAGTTTGTATTGTTAGCAAACTGAATTCCACATGTATTTTAAAATATTATACCCTACATAACCAGTGAGTTATTATGGAATACAAAACTGGACTAATATTCGACAGTCCCCATAATTCACTATTCTAACTCACTTTAACACATACTCACTACTTTCAAACACAACCGACAGCTGTTCACTTTTTTGCTCCTATTGTTCTTTCCTGATTAATACAATTTTATATCAGTTGAATCTGAAAAAATTAGGACTCTTTTTTTTTGGGGGTGGGGGGAGTCTGGTTGCGGGGCCTGAACTCTGGGCCTGGGCGCTGTCCCTCAGCTCCTCACCTCAAGGCTAGCGCTCTACCACTTGAGCCACAGCGCAACTCTTTTTTTTTTCTGCTTATGTGGTGCTAAGGAATCAAACCCAGAGCCTCATGCATGCAAGGCAAGCACTCTACAACTGAGCCACCTTCCCAGCCCCTAGGGTTCTTAATTTGTGTATTTTTCTCGTAATGGATTTTCATTATGTCACAAAGCCATAGGGCTGTGAAAATGAAATGCTCTTTGGTGGGTGAATGGATCAATTCCAGCCAAAGAGTGAATTATTGGTGGCTCAGGCCTGTAATCCTTGCTACTCAGGAGGCTGAGATCTCAGGATCTTGGTTCCAAGCCAGCCTGGGCAGGAAAATCTATGAGACTCTTATCTCCACTTAACTACCCAAAAGCTGAAAGGAAAACTGTGAATCAAGTAGTAGAGGGCTAGCCTTTAGCAAAAAAGCTCAGGGACAGTGCCCAGGCCCTGTGTACACACAGGATTGGCACACACAAATATATAAATAAGTAAATAAATATCAAGCCAAAAGAAAAACTACAGTGACTGTAAATGCATTGCTAAATTTTTAAAATAAGCCAATCTAAAAGTCCACATACTGTACAGTTTTAATCATGGGATTCTAGAAAGATTCAACTTATGGAGGAAGTAGGCTGGAGGTTGCCAGGGGACCAGAGAAGGGTGAAGACATTCGCGTGGGGGACTACTTACTAGGACACACATTTGTCAGACTTGCAGGGTGTATGACCCAAGAGTGGTCCCTTATGCGCCAAATAGGTTCATCAGTTTAATGGACACACCACATAGGCATGGACGTCCGTATAGACTGTGGCTACACCTCTGGAGGCAGGGACAGGAGTCCTCCTCTGAACTGTCCCGTGGCCTTCAAACTGTGAGTGAACAATCCCAGGAGGGCGTGGGGAGAGCAACAAAGCAAAGAGGGCCTGCCGTTCCTCAAGAATGAACTGTATGGCAAAGGACGGCAACAGAAAATGACTTGTATCAGACCCCACTTACCTTGCACAAGGAAAGCAGAAAAGCTAGGACATAGTTCATTCCTGCACTCTCTCACTGAGTGTTTATAAAAATAAACACACAGGGGCTGGGAAGTTGGCTCAGTGGTAGAGCACTTGCCTTGCATGGAGGCCCTGGGTTCGATTCCTCAGCACCATATAAGCAAAAAGAAAAAAGCCGGAGGTGGAGCTGTGGCTCAAGTGGTAGAGCGCTAGCCTTGAGCTGAAGAGCTGAGGGACAGTGCCCAGGCCCAGAGTTCAGGCCCCATAACCGGACCCAAAAACAAAACAAAACAAAAATAAACACACAGCAAATACAAACTAATTTCAAAAGCACTTTACCATCCAGGTGGTTGGTAAAGTTTAACAATCTGGTTAAGTACATAAAACATCTAAACATTAAACAATCAGCAACTAACAGTGTTAATTGTCCATTAGAAATCACTTGTTGATATTTGACTCATGACCATTATCCATGAATGGAGAGTTAGTCTCAGATACAATTGGGATGAGAGTAAGTAGGTATGATTTATTTAGATGTCCACTGTATATAAGTATAAACCCATAGGCTTATTGCCACATACATACCATGTCATTCCTTGATTTTACAAACAGGACCTCTTTCTTTTTAACTCTGCCCTTTCTCTCTGAAGTCTCCTTCTCAATTCCATTCTGCTTCCCTAAGCCTATAGAACCTGTCCCCATTTCTATCTCATTCTTAGATCACTAGGATTCACACTGGTAAAGGGGAAGGATAAATGTGTCAACTGTGACAGGCACAGACACACAATTCAAATATAGAAATCATACAAGATCACGTAGGAGTTCTACCCACTCACCTTTCCAGCAACGAACGGCATATCACCCAAGCTTAACCTATAATGTGGTTGTGTGCCAAAATAGTTCCTAGGACCTTTCTGGAAAAAAATAAATAAATGTTGATAAAACTTTTCTATACACAACTAAGATGCCTAGTTTCTATACAAAACTATGTGCCTTATATATAGTGGCCTTATGCTCCTGATCACGCTCATAACAGTACCTGAACTTTAGGGGAAAAATGTTCTTGAGAAAGTACAGTTATGTCTAAGTAGAAGCATAAAATTAAGCATCATAAAGGATTTTAATAGCAAAAGGCCATCGGTACTTTGCTGAGTAACACCAAAGTACTTCCATGTGTCATCTCATTAGCAAGACTGTCGTTTTGAGTAAAGCAACAAATGAAAGAGGATCACTCAAGGTTACAGTACACATGGTTCATGAGTGTATTCATGAGTGTTCACACAAGCTATACCAATCAATCAGCATTTGACGTGACTGCTTCTGTTTTCATACCTTATCTGCTGGTTTTGCCTTTTTTTTTTTAACTTTTTTTGTACTGGGAACACATGAAGATGAAGATACCTTATCTTCAAAGATCAGTCTGTTTGTCTCAAGACCAGTCTGCAACTAGGAAAAACGTTAAGAGTGCAAAGTTAAATGTCGTGAAAATAAAAATTATAAATCAAATTTGAGATCTGCCAAGGAAAACCTTGTATAGTAGTTTCTAAGAAACACATCTTAATTTTATGACCACAATTTCTGCCAGTCTGTGAGCCTATGCGTAGTATTTTAAATTGATACTACTCTTTCATTTTACCTTTAACTGCTATAATCAAATTGTCCTTTCTTCAGCTTGATGCCCACACTTGCACTACTTGTACCTGTCCTGCTAAGGGAAGTATGGCTTAGCTGGTAGAGCAAGCCAAGGAGCAAACACATCAGGTACCAAGTTTGAGTCCCAGTTTCAAAGCAAAGAAGAAGGTAAAAAAGGAAGAAAGGAGAAGGAAAAAGAAAGAATTCTAGTTATGAGCTATGTACAGCAACTCCAAACTAATGGGGTGGCATTTTCTCACTAGTTGGAGAGAAAAGTACACTTTTTCCTTTCACTCTGTATCTAAAGGTATCGAAAGTTATTTTGGTTTTTTTCTCTAGAAATTTTCAAACTATAATAACTTAAAATATCTTTACACTAGAAATACCATGGATTGGGGCTGGGAAGGTGGCTCAGTGGTACAGCGCTTGCCTTGCATGCCTGAAGCCCTGGGTTCAATTCCTCAGCACCACATAAGCAAAAAGAAAAAAAGCCGGAAGTGGTGCTGTGGCTCAAGTGGTAGAGCGCTAGCCTTGAGCTGAAGAGCTGAGGGACAGCACCCAGGCCCAGAGTTCAGGCCCCACAACCGGACCAAAAAAAAAGAAATACCATGGATTACTAAAGATTGGGGAAAAAGGTAATTTTCCCTAAGCCAACTGACCATATTCCTTTAAAAACAGAAAACAAAAAGATAAAAGAAACTGGTCTCTTAAGTAGTACTTTTTTTTGCCAATCCTGGGGCTTGAACTCAAGAGTCTGGGCGTTGTCCCTAGCTGCTTTTGCTCAAGGCTAGTGCTCTCCCACTTGAGCCACTGCACCACTTCCAGTCTTTTCTGTGTTTGTGGTGCTGAGGAATCGAAGCCAGGGCTTGCTTCATGTGTGCCAGGCGAGCACTCGCCCACATCCCCAGCCCTCTGAGTTGTTCTTTTAAATCTAGCCCTATATCACAACTGCATGGAAATTGAGGAGGGAAAAATGACATTGCCAAATTTCTCTCCAAACTAGTTTTGAAATTTCTACATTAGAGAAATTATTTTAAATTTTCAGGAAATTATGATGGAGCTAATAGGAACACTCAGAACCATCAAATTAAGTAAAACAATATGATGAGATTTTGAAGTTGTTGCAGACTAAAGGCATCTCCACCCTTGGGACCACATCCACTCTGACACACTTCATATAATGCTTTGGACAAAGTAGCTGGATAGGTGCAATGCAACAGTCTGGAAATTACTTTTCTGGAAAACTTATGTCAATGAGCAGAACCTGTAAACAAATGACTTTTTGACTAGCTTAACTTTCAGCTACCTGTGCCAGAGTTTCAACATTTCACAGTGCCTTCATCATCATCCATTTCATTTTACCCAATTGCCGTGAGACACAAATGAGTCACTTCATTAATGGCAAAGTCCAGGCTCTAAATGATTAAACAACCTGACCAGGTTTCACAAAGTAAAACCTCTATACTCAGAACCCACTACTATAGTGTGCACATCTGAATGCCAAATACTTACTGGTAATACAGCGTCAGCAACAACTGATTCGGTTCCTGTTGCTGAGTAGAAAAGAAAGCAAAGGTACTACAAACTAATTTTAAAAATTAATGAACCAATGAACTTGTTAACAATGGCATTTTGCACACACTGGTCTCAACACCGCAGTGCATCTAAAGCATAGCCCTTCAATCTACCTGGTCCAAGTGAGGAAGAGACCCAGTAAAGAGCCTACCTCAAAGTCAGAAGGGGCAGAGAAAATCTGCCGAAGGTCAAAATGAAAGCCATGACAGCCATGTAACTCAAGTGCACACCGAGGGAAAAATGTTAACTCTACAAACTGACAGAGCTAGGTTTTTGAGAAGAAAATACCCAGTTTAACAGAAAGAGAATATACTGAGATCAGTTTACCAGAGACGCTCTGGAAGAGACAATGCGGTATGTTCTGTGGTGACATGTCTGAGAAAGCCCAGGACAGAGAATGGCAGAGCCCCACCCTGACTGTTCTTGTGTTCATGAGAAGACAGATGGCTGCAAGTGGGCTCACTCCCGGAATTCTAGCTGCCCACGAGGCTGAGCTCTTTAGTCCAGGACTCATCTCCAAGAACCAGAAAAAAAAAAAAAAGCAAAGCTAAAGGCAAGGCTCAAGTAGCATAACAGCCATGAGTGAAAAAGCCTAGTGAGAATGTGTGGTCCCGAGTACAAACGTGGTCCTGGTATGCATGCACACAGCGGTGTGCACACACACACAGAGAAGATGATTACATTTGAGAGCTTGTATACTGGACTGTTCTAAGGCGTAAATTCACTTAAGATGGTCAAATATAATTTCATATTTATATCCACAGAGCAGTAAAACACATTAAGAGCTTACCTGATCATAATTCAACTTACCTCAGCTGCCTTTGCTTGCATACGTTTTCTTTCTTCTTCTTCTTCATGGAGTTTTGCTTCCAACTCTTGCATTTTTTTCTAATGATAAGGATATTAAATTGTAATTAGTAAGCCTCAAGTCTTTGACTAGGTCCTAACAGCTAACTGTGAAGAGGTACTTAATGCTCCAAGCCCCTTACACGTAAGAATTTGCCAGAATAAAAGTAATTGTCATTCTCATGCTAGAGATACACCCACTCTGTCTATTCAAATGTATTCTTTTTCTAACAAACTTTGCTAACATTTGCTAAAAGAAGAATATCAAAAAGGGTAACAGTAAAAAGGGTCTGTAAAATTTAACAGAGCTCACAGGGACAAGTGATGAACTTTGAGCAGTCACTGTGTCTGTGAATTCAGTCCAGTGACGGTAGGCTTGACAGTACTCAGACTGCCCTCTGTTAAGTCACCCAGAGCCCCTGTGAGTGAGCTCTACACAATCAGTGGTAACATGTAAGGCCAAAGGTCACAGCTTGTACAAGGCCAACAGGTTATAGGAGGCCTACGTTGGTACTTGACTCAATGGTTAAATACATCCCAAATGAAACACAAAAATAAAATTACTTCAGAGAACAAATCTCCCAAAAGGATACTTAAGGACATTTAACCTTCAATTATTCTTAAAAAATAAGCCCTGTATGTCTACCAGACTGTAAAATGGCAACACCCTCCAGTTTTTAAAAACTACTATTTCTTTGGAGTAAGACCATATTTATTGGCAACTAATTTTTTAATGAGCACGCTTGTATTACGCATTAACAAGGAAAAGGCGCCTCCCGACCTCAGCAAGGGCCTGCATCGTGGTGAGTTTGTTATACTCCTGTTCCAGAAGATCCAGCTTTTCAAGCTGGCTCTGAACATGTGTTTGATCTTGCTGCCGCTCTCTTTCCAGGGAAACCTGGGATACATCAAATGCACAATGATAACATGATAAAAAAGTAACACTGAGCACATCTTAAAATACATTGTATGCTATATGGCCCTTCAGAGAACTACATACATCTAGAGAGGAATCCTAAGACTTAAGACAAAGCTCTAAAAACACTACCAGATGGCTGATTAAAGCAACCCTTGCCTGGCCTGCCATTATCATACAGAAAATCTATGTAAAACCACGTAATTATTTCTTAAGTGGGTCATCTATTACTCAAGATGTAATGGGGGAGGGGGCGGCTATCTTTTGTACTTCATTGGAAATCTTTTTTTTTTTGGTGCCAGTCTCTACAGAGCCATAGTAGGGACATCAGAGCTATTTTAAAAATGTATTGTAAACATCTTCATTGCAAATGTACAAGTTACCTGAATAACAAAGATCTCTAGTATAATAAAACTATTTTGTTAAGCAGCTATTGCGAAGAGCTTTAAGAAGAAAAATCTTCAAGACTGCTGTCTCACCAGTTTGTAGAGGGACTGTGCTTTTTTTATACCACAGACCTTTAGACTGTAATTTAAGGAAAACACTACCAAATATACAAATAATCACAACAAAGAACCAATCAAATCAAATCTTCAATACCATAAATAACCCAAGGAATTTTCAAACCTGGACTACTATAAAAACATCATTATATCCTCACTAAAAAAAGTCTTTAATTCATTTTCTGAATGTCTATTCTTGAGTGCTCATCTATGAGTCAACCACCATACCTGCTTCTCTAAGACTGAGGTCCTCTCCATTTCCGCATGCTTAATCATATTCCGCATGTACTCCAATTGTTTTTCTAAAAGATTACATTTATTTTCGGCAGCTAACAACTGAGATGTCAGCTCTACAAAAGAATATTTAAGAAAAGCAGAAGTCAGCACATAAAATAGTTTCAGCAGGTTAACTGATTTTGGAACTACTGTGACTCCCTTATAAAAAACACATTCTGCAGGGTGGGAGGGGGTGAGGGATGGGAAGGGATGGGAAGGGGAAACAAAGGAGGAGGCAACAATGCTTGATAAGAAATGTACTCGTTATCTTGCCCATGTAATTATAACCCCTCTATATGGTATTTTCACAAAAAATAAATGAAATAAAAGACACATTCTCTAGCCTGTAAGTTTAGATTACCTAAATCGTTTTCTTTCTATGTTATGCTAGTCAGTAAATATAATGTGTATACTTGCTCCTCACAACAAACACAGACATAACGTAATTTTGTTTTGCTTAATGATAGTATAGAGAATGACAAGGTAGAGTATTAGAATAACTTTACATTACAGTATTTATGGCAAATTTAATTTCCTTTACAAAATGAAACATACCTTGATTGTGCTTTGACTCTTCATTCTTTGAGTTTTCCCTTTCTTGTAGCTGTTCATCCAGTACTTTCTTATATTCAATTGTTTCTCTAGACAATGTTTTCACACTTTCTTCTGCCTGAATCCTTTCAAGCTCTAAGCGTCGAATCTTATCTTGAAGATTCTTCAAAGCTGAAAATATGGCTGCCAAACAGAAAGTAGGTAACAGAACAGTATATATGGGGAAAGTTCAATGAAAAATTAATTTTTAAAATGTGATGAATAGGTCCAGTGGAAGATCATTCCTTCAGAAGAGTAAATTATTATCTCGTAATTTTAAAAAGTCCATTTAGAGACATCTATGAGTGTCTGAAATATTTTAGCTATTTTAAGTAAAAACCCTTTACTATGACAAAAACATTTCAAAGATAATTCTAAAGTGGCAACAGCAACTAAGAAAACCTAGTTAATCATACATAACAATACATAACTGTCATTCTTTATTTTTTTTTTTTGGGGGGGGGGGTCTGGTCGTGGGGCCTGAACTCTGGGCCTGGGCGCTGTCCCTCAGCTCTTCAGCTCAAGGCTAGCGCTCTACCACTTGAGCCACAGCGCCACTTCCGGCTTTTTTCTTATGTGGTGCTGAGGAATCGAACCCAGGGCCTCGAGCATGCAAGGCAAGTGCTCTACCACTGAGCCACCTTCCCAGCCCCTGTCATTCATTATTAACTATTTTTTCCTGTCTATATACAAGATCACAAGCAGACTCCAATTGTAGAATTAAACTCACATATAAAAATGACTTTAATTTGCACTTTTTTCTTTATGTAAGAAAAAAAGCCTAGGATTGGGTCTCCTCTAAAGGATTCTGATGTGAGATGTGATACACATTCATTGCAGGAAATGTAGAACATAACAACCGATAATCCTATCAGAGACAGTAACAATCAGTCTTGGGTCTTTCAATCTTTTTCATTAAGTACAAAATAAAACGAAATAAAAATATAATTGCTTTTCACTTTGACATTATTAAACACTAAGCATTTGCTCACCATACCATACAGTTTTAAGGTTTAGTTTTCTCTAGAAACTGAAAAATGTACTATATATAAAAAAAAAAAAAAAAGATCTGTATTTTAAGCTGGATGTGGCATTCCTAGCATCTGGGATGCTTAGGCAAGAAAATAGGCTGTCCTTGTCCTGGACAGCCTGTGCTCCAGGTAAAGACCTAGTTTCAAACGCCAACAGAGCCCAGATGTAACATGAAATGTCTAATGTCAATGTCTGAGCTTAACTTCTTTTGAGCCACTGAGGGTTGTATATGTGGTTTTTTTTTTCAGTATTTTACATTATAGTATACATCTTCTGAACTGTTTGCCCAGAAGTTTCTTCTTATACTTTGTATTTTTTTTTTAAGTTTTTGTTTTATACCGATCCTGGGGTCTGAACTCAGGCTGGGTGATGTCCCCATGCTTTTCTGCTCAAAGCCAGCGCTCTACCATTTGGTCCACAACTCCACTTTTGGCTGTTTTGGTAGTTCAGTGGAGATCAGAGTCTCACAGACGTTCCTGCCTGGCCTAGCCCTGAACCATGACCCTCAGAGCTCAGCCTCCTCACTGCTATTATAATAAGCATGAGCCACTGGCACCTGGCTGCCAGGAACTTAACAAACCTTAAACTATTTATTCCTCTTCCTTTACAACAAATCTGGCTGATACAGATCTTACTTTAAAGAACAATTTTTCAAGAAGAAAATTTCAACAAGAGAGTATAGTGTGTGAAAGGCTTGCAGACTTGAAGTGAATGGTATTCAGGTGAGCAGAAGAGAAACTCAAAGATGTCCACAACTAACCTTTGTAGTCTCTGATGAATGCATTATGTAAGACGGCAATAAGGACTTTTATATGGACAGACCTTCAGATGCTGACATTATTCCTAACTATGTGAATATGCCACTTTCATCCTATGAGAAGAAACTTCTCACCAATTCTTGTTAGAGAAGTCTGAGCGACTAAGCATAGGAGAGCTCTAACTCACTGCTGCCTTAGGGGACAGCTGGAAACCATGAGAAGGAACGTGGAGGATCTGTGGGAGAAAAGGCTGACTGTGACGGACGATAGAAATGGAACCTCCAACATTACCAACAAGCAATGGAACTGACCAACGGTCTGAGTGAGGTGCAAATGTAACTACCCTAGGGCCTCCAGGAAAGAACACAGCCCAGGGCTGCGAGTGTGGCTCAGTGGGAGAGTGCCTGTCTAGCATGCATGAAGCCCTAGGTTCTATTCCTCAGGACCACACAGAAAAAGTCACAAGTGGCACTGTGGCTCAAGTGGTAGAGTGCTAGCCTTGAGCTGAAGAGCTGAGGGACAGCACCCAGGCCCAGCGTTCAGGCCCCACAACCGGACCCAAAAAAAAAAAAAAAAAAAGAGACTGGGCAAGATTAGTTAGGAGAATATAATCGACATACAGGTAAGAGAAGAACCTAAACCAAAGCAACGAGAACATACTTTTGAGACAGATACTTTTGAGATACTGCTGTAGCCAAAACCCAGGCATGATTCCTAACAGATGTTGAGGATGACAAATTAGTCACTAGTGGGGTGCAAGTATGCTACTGTCCTGATTTTTGTGGATGATGATATTCAACCATCAATATAAAGAGCAAAAGAAAAGCCTACTTTGAGAAGGCCAAAAACAGAATGGGGAGATAGTCTCTAAATGTCAAAACAATGGAGGATGAGGCTGCAGGTGTGCTCAGTGGCACACACCTGACTAGCAAGAGCAATGCCCTTGGACTTTTTACAAAAGCAAACCAAAAAACCAAACCAAACACGTGACTAAAGGAGTGGAGGGATGAAGTGTAAAGCAGCAAGTAAACACAGACAACATCTATTCTGGGTTGTCACCTCTGCTGTTGCTCTCTGGATAGGCAAGTGTGGGCTTATGCGGAGAGCGTCGCAGATCACTGTTAAGGAAAGGCTTGTCAGGTGGGTACAGCACATATGGAGATGAAGAATGGCGAACCACACTTCCATTAGATCTTGATGGCTGAGCTATGATGTTCTGAAAAATAAAAGCACAGAAATTACCTCTCAAACAAGGGAACCAAAAGTAGTTACGACTAAATACTAGACTGTCATCCACAAGACAGCAAAAAATTAGCCTACTGACTATACAGCCCAGTTGTTTACTGTGAAGAAATGCAACTTTTGAAGCCTTGTTTGTTTGCCTAAACATAGTCACAAGGCATGCTTACATGCCTTGCCTTTTTTAACAAGCACCGATCCCCTTTATTTTCATTTGTTATGTTTACCAGGCACTCTGGTCTGTCTCTGAGGCTGTCCCCGATGACCCTGTCTATCTGCAACACTACCACTACATGACACATTAACACATGTCCTGTGTTAATAAAAATAAAAATTTTGTCTTCTGTCCCCGACTCTAGACACAGATTCAAAAACTCCTGGAATGTCTTAAGTAGCAGGGATATCTAAAAGGGCAAACACTTTACCACTTGAGCCACAGCTCCTCTTCTGGCTTTCTTGATGGTTAATTGGAGGTTAGTGTCTCAAACTTTCCTGCCTGGTGTGGTTTCAAACTGTGATCCTCAGATCTCAGCCTCTAGTGTAGTTAGGATTATGTTTGGCTAGTAATAAAATGATTGAAATCCATTTTGAAATTGACTTCATCTCTGACCTCAAGGAGGGAAGTGCCAGTCCAATTACCAACAGATAATAATGTATCCACAACACCTATCTTATGAGGCTGCAATGAAAACTCCTTAAGAAGAAAGTTTGAGAAGCTTCTGGATTGACAAACTAAAATGCTCAGGTGATATGCTGGAGAGTACGTGGAAGGCTTGCTTGGGTTATACCCACTACAATAAACCCCTAACACTGAGTCACTCTAGAAAATGACTCAACCTAATCTGTAAACAGCTGGACAGATATTCAGGACTCTGCTGATCACTGAAGGAGGGAAGTCCTGTGAGACTGTGACTCTCTTAACTGGGGTTGGCGAGTTCTGGGAAGCCTAGTTGGTGTAGGTACCATTTCATAGTCTATCCCCAAAGTTATGAGGGACAGTTCTACCCACTAAAGACACAAAATTTGGTGCTGGTGGTTCTGGCTCACATCTGTAATTGTAACAGCTCTGGAGGCTGAGACCTGAAGGATTGAGGTTTGAAGCCAGCCAGGACAGGAAAATCTTTGAGATTCCATCTCCAATTAACCAGCAAAAAAAAAAAAAAAAAAGATAGGCTTGAAGGCACAGCACACGCACTAGAGTGCTAGCTGTGAGTAAAAAAGCCCAAAGAGCACGGAGCTCCGAGTTCAAGTGTCAACACCAAGACAAGACTGCTGGTGGGAATGTGTGTGGTCCCAGTCTCTTGGGAAACAATTAAGCATTAGTAAGTAGAGTTGCAAAGGCCCTTGCAGATGTGGTTACCGCACAGTTTTCCTTCCCTCATTTTTGAAGATGATGGGGCCTAAAACACCATGCACATCCAACAACCTATATTGAGCTGCAGATATATCCAGGAATTGCCCCTCACACATTTTTTGTCTTGGGATCACTCTACACTGATCCTACTCTACTGTCTGGTTCTGAATTCACTCTTCGGATGCTGTTTTGGTTGATGGATATGAAGATGTAGCTTCCCACAGACATGTAGGTGAAGGGTGAACGGCCTTGAAGATGCTCGAAGAGTGCCACAGGGTTCCTCCTCAAGGGCCTGTCGGCCATAGAGAGCTGATGCTCTGAGAAACTTCTGCCATGTAGGGGTAATCACAACAGGACTTGTACTACCCAGCCTACAAACAACCCCCAGACCCTAATGCCCACAGAATATATTACTCAGTCTATAAGACCTCTTCTTACCCTCTCCTTAGCTTCGTGATTCATTTTGCTCATTTGAAAACTGAAACATTAATACGAATACTAACCTCAATACTGAGGATTCAAACGCTTTAAAACATGCAAAGTGCTTAACATAATGCCTGTCAGTACCGCTTAAATATTTCGTATTATGATGATCTTAAGTGTGATAGTGGGGCAAGCAGAAGGGATGAAATCAACAGGAAGGCATTTACCTCATTATCCTAAAAAAAAAAAAAAATCTTAAATGAAATGTGAAATCAGAAAACAGAACAAAATTATTGATAAAGGGCAAAACCTCTTGGTGAAGAGAACCTAGACTGACCAGCAGTCAGCCTCACACCTTTCCATCCTTGCTAAAAAGCACAACATCGCTCTCTCTCTCAAGTTTACCAAGCTGGCAGCTTTGCAGTTTACCACAGACTGTGCTGAAGCCACTGACACCCTGAGGCCTATTGCAGCTGTACTGAGCTGAGGTCTACCACAGCCATACTATCACAGCCTTACTGAGCTGAGGTCTACCACAGCCATACTATCACAGCCTTACTGAGCTGAGGTCTACCACAGCCATACTATCACAGCCGTACTGAGCTGAGGTCTACCACAGCCATACTATCACAGCCTTACTGAGCTGAGGTCTACCACAGCCATACTATCACAGCCATACTATCACAGCCTTCCTGTCACAGCTGTACTGAATTGAAGTCTACCACAGCCATACTATCACAGCCATACTATCACAGCCTTACTGTCACAGCTGTACTGAGCTGAGGTCTATCACAGCCATACTATCACAGCTGTACTATCACAGCCTTACTGTCACAGCTGTACTGAGCTGAGGTCTATCACAGCCTTACTGAATTGAAGTCTACCACAGCCATACTATCACTGAGTTGGTCTATCACAGCCATACTATCACAGCAGTACTATCACAGCCCCAGGAAGAGCCAAGGGCTGAGCTCCAGCAAAGCCAGCTGGGGTGGCGGCAGAGGCTGGCAGGCTGGTGTCAGGCCTCAGAGAGCAGGTGTGGAGGGCAGGCCTCAGGCCCTTGGAGGGCAGGTGTTGGTCAGGCGTTGGAAGACAGATGTCAGGCAGGTGTCAGGCTGGCGTCAGAGAGCAGGGATCCGGCAGGTGTCAGAGAGCAGGCGTCAGGCAGGTGTCGGAAGGCAAGTGTCTGAGAGCAGGTGTCCGTAGAGCAGGTGTCAGGCCAGTGTCAGAGGGCAGGTGTTGGAGGACAGGTGTCCGAGAGCAGGTGTCAGTCGGGCAGGTGTCGGAGAGAGAGCAGGCTTTGGGCAGGTGTCAGGCAGGCATTGGAGGGCAGGCATCCAGCCAAGTGTCAGGCCAGCCTGTGGCCGTAGCCCTCTCCCCTGGTCCCGGAGGCCAGGGAAGTGCAGTTGGCTGTCCCCTTCCAGGATCCATTCCTCCCCCTTGACACCGGGTGCAGCCTCGGCTCCTTCCGGTCACGGGCTGCAGCTCTCTGCCCCCTCCTCGAACAGGGCCTCCGCTGGGGACACGCGTGTCACCGAGAGCCGCCGGAGGAGTGGGCATGGGGCGGGCGACTCCAGACACGGGACGAGCCGTGCACACGCCCGGACACGGGACGAGCCGTGCACACGCCCGGACACGGGACGAGCCGTGCACACGCCCGGGACACGGGACGAGCCTGCACACGCCTGGGACACGGGACGAGCCTGCACACGCCCGGACACGGGACGAGCCTGCACACGCCCGGACACGGGACGAGCCTGCACACGCCCGGACACGGGACGAGCCTGCACACGCCCGAGACACGGGACGAGCCTGCACACGCCCGAGACACGGGACGGACCGTGCACATGCCCGGGACACGGGACGAGCCTGCACACGCCCGGACACAGGACGAGCCTGCACACGCCTGGACACGGGACGAGCCTGCACACGCCCGGACACGGGACGAGCCGTGCACACGCCCGGGACACGGGGCGGACCGTGGACACGCCTGGGACACGGGACGAGCCTGCACACGCCTGGACACGGGCACGAGCCGTGCACACGCCTGGACACGGGTCAAACCTGCACATGCCCGAGACACGGGACGGACCGTGCACATGCCTGGGACACGGGACGAGCCGTGCTCACGCCCGGGACACGGGACGAGCCTGCACACGCCTGGACACGGGACGAGCCTGCACACGCCTGGACACGGGACGAGCCGTGCACACACACGGACAGGGGCACGAGCCGTGCACACGCCCGGGACACGGGCACGAGCCGTGCACACACACGGACAAGGGCAAGAGCCGTGCACACACACGGACACGGGCACGAGCCGTGCACACACACGGACAAGGGCAAGAGCCGTGCACACACACGGACACGAGCCGTGCACACGCCCGGGCACACGCACGGACACGAGCCGTGCTCACGCCCGGGCACACGCACGGACACGAGCCGTGCTCACGCCCGGGCACACACACGGGCACGAGCCGTGCTCACGCCCGGGCACACGCACGGACACGGGCACGAGCCGTGCACACCCGGGCGCGGGGTCCACGAGGCCGGGCGGCGCGGCCTCCCCGCGGCGGACCCGCGCCCGCGCGCCCCAGGTCGGCCGTTGCACCGCCCGCCCGCCGGGCCGCGGAGGACCCCGGAGCCGTCGGCGCCCGCCGGGCCCCCGGAGAGGCCCGAGGCGCAACCCCGAAACCCCCGCGAAGGCGGAGGGCCGCCGGGACCCGAACCCGCCCGGACGCCGCCGCTCCTTACCGAGAACCGAGAGTCCGAGGCCGTGGAGACCGACGCCGCCGCCATCTTCCCACCGCCCCGCACGGGCCTCCGCAGCTCCGGCACGGCCCCGAGGCTCGAGAGCCGCAGCCCGCGACGGCCTCACAGGCGCCCAGGTGGAAGGGGCGGGCGGCCGGAGAGGGTCCGGGAGGGTCCGGGGCCCCGCCTCACACCCCGCAGGGACGCCCAGGCCCGGTGCTCACGCCGGAAAGGCAAAACGTCCTAACAGACGTCGCCTGCAGCCAATCACAAGAGCGGACACCTGCCCGGGCGCGGGAGGACCCGCCCTCGCAGTGACGTCATAAGGCGGCGCGCGGCGGCGGCGCCCGGGTGGGCCGGGCCGGCCGCCCGCGGGCCGCCGGGAGTCCGCCGCCGACTTCCCGATGGGGGGGCGGGGCGGGCCGTCGCCCGGGGCCGAGGCGCCGACCGCGCCGGGCTCAGGCGAGCGGGACGGCCGCCCTCCCCCCATCAGAGCTCCTGAGAGCGCGCGGGACGGGCGCGGGACGCCTCTCAGGTGAAGTACGGACCGACTCGGGGCCAACCACGACCCAGCCCCAGGGAGGCACGGGGCAGCCCCCGGGCGGCGCGCGCGCGGCTCCGGCGCAGCGGGCGGAGCGGGCGGAGCGGCCGCCCGAGGGCGGGCGCCGTGGGCGGGGCCGAGCCGAAGCGGATTTCGCGCGTGAAGGGCGCCGGGCTCTCATTGGCCAGCGCCTTGCGCCCTTTGTGGGCGCTGCCGGCGTCGCGCGGGCGCGGGGCGGGGCGGGGCGTCCGGGTGACGCGGCCTCCCCGCAGCCAATGAGAGAGCGGGACTCGAGGCCGGGAAGGAAGCGGATCCGCCGCCGTGCAGCCAAACGGCGTCCGGGGCCCTGCTTCGTCTCCCTCCGCCGCCGTCGGGGCCTAGGCGGGAGCGGCCGGGGAGGCGTCGCTGGGGGGACCGGGGCGGGAGTGCCGGCGGGGGGAGACGGCGGCGGCGGCGGCGGCCGCTGGGCTCCGACTGCGACTCCGGCGCCGAAGCCCGCAGGGCCCTAGGCCGGGAGGGGCGGAGGAGCCCGCGGCCGGGCGGCGGGGCCCCGCCTCGGAGCGGGATGGCGGCCTCGGCCCTGTACGCCTGCACCAAGTGCACCCAGCGCTACCCCTTCGAGGAGCTGTCGCAGGGCCAGCAGCTCTGCAAGGTGGGCGGGCGGGCGGGCGGGCGGGGTCCTCGGCGGAGCCCCGGGCGGGCGGGAAGGGTGGCGGGCGGGCGGGGCCCCGGGCGGGCGGGAGGGGTCCTCGGCAGGGCCCCGGGCGGGAGGGTGGCGGGCGGGAGGGGTCCTCGGCGTAGCCCCGGGCGGGCGGGCGGGGTCCTCGGCGGAGCCCCGGGCGGGCGGGAGGGGTCCTCGGCAGGGCCCCGGGCGGGAGGGGTCTTCGGCGGAGCCCCGGGCGGGCGGGCGGCGGGCGGGAGGGGTCCCCGGGAGCTCGGCCCCCGTGTTTGCACTTTCTCGCTAGGACCCCGCCGAGCCCGCGGCTCCCTCCCCCGTCCCGGACCGGTGCCCTGCCTGCGGCTCCTCCCGCACCGAGCAGCTTCGCCCTTGGCCGGCCCGGGAGTCAGCGTGACGGCCTTGTGGCCCCTCTGTCACGCCCGGCCCCGGCCCCGGCCCCGCCGTCCTGGTGGAGCCGGCCTCGGCGGCCTGGCTCGCTGACCGCAGGTACCCTCTGGTTGCAGGAGTGCCGGATCGCTCACCCCATCGTCAAGTGCACTTACTGCCGGTCAGAGTTCCAGCAGGAGAGGTCTGTATGCTGCAAACCCACGCTGAGCCTAGGGACGCCAGGAAGCCGCCCTCGGCTTGACTGAAAGCAGCTAAGAACTAGGATTCGGCCCCAGGAAGTCTGAGTTATAAACCATTTTACAGGTGGCGGCAAAAGAATATTGACCTCGAACCCAAACCCCGGTGGATAGTGTGCGGCTGCACTCAAACCCGAGGAGATAGGCGATCCTAGCAAAAACGTGAACACAGCTGCTCTCAGGCCTTAAAAAAATTAGATGTTAGTGGATGGAGGGATCTAGTTTTACCAACTGGGAGATGGTTAAGTGAAGAGTAACACAGACGTTAGAGCCCCCATGAAAACAAGCAGCCAGGGAGGAGGACAAGTCATCTTCGCCCAGTAGTAGCAGGAGAGAATACTTGGGGATTAGACTGAAGACAGGAAGATGAAGCCAGGCGTGATGTGCAGGTGAAGGTAGGAGTGCTGTGAGTTTGAGTCCAGCCTGGGCAACGCAGCCAGAACCTGTCTCAAAAAGAGAAAAGGAGGATACATAAAAATACTTACTAAAAGTTAGTAAGAGATGCACATTGGAGTAAAACCTTAAGTCATACATATATGCAAATCAGAGTGTGTGTTTACTGCTCCAGTTCAGTTCATTCTTCAATTCAACTTTGTTATTTAACCCCAGAAAGCTACATAAATGTGGTCATCTATATAATTTCCTTTTCAGCAAAACTAACACGATTTGTAAGAAGTGTGCGCAAAATGTCAAGCAGTTTGGGACAGTAAGTATGTTTCGTTTTACTTTTGTGTTATTTTGACTAGTTACAGTCTTCCATGAAAGTATTTAGGGTATGACAGTCTAATAGGAAGATGATAACATTTATAAGCAGAAATTAGATACATGTTTTAAGTGCTGTATACTGAATACAAATTTTATGTAGGTATTCTCTATAAAGCTACAAATACAGCAAACTCATAGAGAACCTACTTACGGGTAGTGTTTGCATAATCAAACTCCCCTGTTTAGAAGTTTTATATGGCAGTGTTGTTCAGGTGTTCACAAAATTAATAACCGTCATGTATAATATGGTTACTGATGCATTAGTATTTATTTTTGGTATTTATTACTAAGGTGGTCCTGAATTATCCTTTGAATATCAAAAAAAATCAAGATACATTTATTATAATTAATGTTGAGTATTCTCACACCACTAATTTTTGTAAATGAAAGCTCACCAACAGTATATATTTCTTTTTATGTTTTCTGTACCTGTGTAGGATAAGTTACTGGGTTATTAATTTTTTTTTGTAAATGCTATGACATACTACCTAGACTTTTGAATTAGAAGTTCAGTTTTTTAAACTGAGTTCATGAACTAAGTATCATACATTCATTTTCATTTTTGAGACCTTTATCGTGAGCAGTTTTGTATTATACAACAACTACAAATCATGAGTACATGATCTTATTTATTCTAATCGAGTAATAGCTTCATGACTCTAGACATAAATGTTGGTTGAATTAAGAGAAACATGATGAATGTCTCTGAACATGGCAAGATGACTGACTCAGCAGAGAATTATGATTTTAACTTAGTAGTTTCATTCATTAGTCCTAGAAATGTCTGTTGGTTATGTTTCATTACTTTAAAAGTCACAGTTAAGGTAAATGCTATGTTTTGCAGCCCAAGCCTTGTCAGTACTGTAACATAATTGCAGCATTTATTGGTACCAAGTGTCAGCGCTGCACAAATTCTGAAAAAAAGTATGGACCGCCTCAGACCTGTGAGCAGTGCAAACAGCAGTGTGCGTTTGACCGGGAGGAGGAGGGGAAGAGGAAGGTAGGTTTTGTCGGTCTCGAGGTCTTCTGGAAGTTAAATAACAAACAAAATAGAAATTATTATGATCAATACGTGTTCTGTTCTTGGGGTCCCTGAAAACAAAAAATTAGACGGAAGTGTAGGAATAATGAATATCCTCCTCACACGCTTCAAATGCAGGATTCATGTTGATCAGTGCTGATAGCTATACTTTAAAAGCTATTCTTGCCCGGCTAATGGCACCACACACATGCCCAAGTAGGATTATTTTGCCCAGGATTCAAGACCAGCCTATGTACATCCTAATTAGACCTTGTCTCAAACAAAAATTACTATGTCCTTACGTCCTTTCACCTACTTTTTGCTAATTACTTGAAGTTGCTGTAGTGGAAAGTACCTGGTGGCATATTAGCACAAATTCAAAGTCTGCCTTGGGTCCAGGCTTCTATTTAAAACCAGAGTTTGTTTTTTCTCTGCCTAGTGACGAGTATGTATGTGCATGTGGTATTCCTGCTCTGGTCCCCATTCACACAGGCCTCCCTCATTTGTCTCAGTTTCAGTGGATGTGAAGGTGACACTCTTGGAGGGACCGGTCCCTATGTCCCCTCCAACCTTAGTTGTAAGACATACCCCTCTAGCACTTCTGGAGTAAACAAACAGAAGGCATAAACTTGATCATATTTTTACAGGTTTTGATCTTAGTGGTAGTCTCCTTCCCCTTGATTAACACACAATTGATTTTCCTTATTTAAAGTTGCCACAAACACAGAATTAGCAAACCATTACTTCTTAGGGAAATGAGAGATTAGGTCCTTGCGTCTAGTTATAACATACTGGTTGCTGACCAGATACTATGTGTTCTGTGTTTAAAGTCACGTTTCATGAACATGTTTTTGGTTAATCGAACCCTTGGCCAGTAGCACTGACAATGCCTAAACAAAGCTTTTCGCTAAGGCACAGCAAAGACATTGAGCTTAGAAATGCAAGCCCCTCAGCACTATTCTCTAGACCATTTTAAACATGACAATTATTAACAAAATCTGAAAATAATTAGGATTTTTTTCTGTAAGTTCACACTATAATTCTAATAATTACACATTAAACATTCAGAGTAGATTTCCTAGCAGTTTATCGTGAACTTACACCTTCAAAGAATAAGAAAAGAGGTTAACAAGTGTCTCTCAAAACTAAAAATGTCATCTGGGCACTGGTGGCTCTCGCCTTTAATCCTAGCTACTCAGGAGACTGAGATCTGAGGATCGCAGTAAAAAGCCAGGGCAGGAAAGGCTGTGAAACTTATCACCAGTAAACCACCAGAAAACCAGAAGTGGTGCTGTGGTTCAAGTAGTAGAGCCCCAGCCTTGAGCTGAAAAGCTGAGGGACAGTGCCCAAGCCCAGAGTTCAAGCCCCATGACCGACAAAAAAAAAAACTAAAAATGCCATAAGACTAAAGGAAAGTCATATATTCACTAATTTTATAATCCTTTGTGCAAACTTACTCAAATATCAAAGAATAATTTTATTTTTGTTGGCTGTGGGGCTTAAACTCTGAGCATGGGCGCTATCTCCTCAGCTCTTCAGCTCAAGGCAAGCATTCTACTGCTTGAGCCACAGCGCCACTTCCAGTTTTCTAGTGGTTTATTGTTTTTATTGGAGATCGGAGTCTCACGGACTTAACTGCCTGGGCTGGCTTTGAACCGAGATCCTCGGATCTTAGCCTCCTGAGAAGCTAGGATGACAGGCGTGAGCCACTGGCGCCTGGCTTCAAAGAATAATTTTACTGCCATTTTGCAACAATCTGTGTGTGAAATACAACTAGAAGTTGAGTAGTGTGTCTTTCAAGTGTCACTTAAACCCAGTTTATTAGTGCATTTAATTTCATATGAATCTTTTCTTAAAAGGTTGATGGGAAGTTGTTGTGCTGGCTTTGTACTTTATCATACAAAAGAGTTTTACAGAAGACAAAAGAGCAGAGGAAGAGCTTGGGATCTTCACATTCAAATTCTTCATCCTCATCCCTCACTGAGAAAGACCAGCATCATTCAAAGCACCACCATCACCACCATCACCACCACCACCACCACCACCGGCATGGCAGTGCCCATCACAAGTAAGTGTTTTGAAAGCGTGTTTTCTAAGATTGTATTGGCAGGACCAATAGCACTAACAGCAAACCTTTAACTAACTTGTTTTTGTCTGTGAGGCATATCAAGGAACTGGGTGTTTCCTTAGAAATGCTAATGAGTTCAAGCCCCACCACCAACCAGAAAAAAAACCAATGCTGAGGAGGTGCTGGTGTGGTTTGCATTGTTCTGGTAAGCTTTCTGAGTAGAGGGTTGTGACCATTCAGAAGGTGCCTTCCCTCCCCCCTCCCTCCTGCATATGCCGAGTCTACCCTCACCCAGGGAAGCACTCTCAGCTGTGGAAATCCCCAAAGTCTGAGGTTGTTTTAGCCCTTGGTATTTTGCTATTTTTTGTTTGTTTTGTGCCGATCCTGGAGCTTAAACTGACGGCCTGAGCACTATCCCTGAGCTTTTGTATTCAAGGCTAGAGCCCTAGCATTTTGAGCCACAGCTCCATTTCCTGAGTTTTCCTGCTTAGGTGGCTTTGAACCACAATGCTCAGATCTCAGCTTCCTAAAGCACTAGGATTATAAATATGTGCCCAGCTTTTGTCATTTCTTGTTTTTTAAAACATGCTTTTTTGTTTTGAACTCAGGGCCTGGGCATTGTCTCTGAGTTATCCCTGAGTGCAATAACTACCACTGAGCCACAGTGTCCAGTTTTCTGATGGTTAATTGGAGATGAATCTCATGCACTTCCCTGTCTAGGCTGGCTTTGAACCATGATCCTCACATCTCAGCCTCCTGACTAGCTATGATTATCGGAGTGAGCCACCAGTGCCCAGCTAAAACAGATGCTTTTTAAAAAATTGCTAACTATTCAAGTACTTGATTCTTAGTGAATTCAAGTGGGGAACAAAGTTGTAACCTGGTAATGATATTTTAAGTGTGTAGCCTAAAGCATTTTTTAAGATGTAATTATAATTTTTGTGGACAAGCTGTCCACCTCCTAAAACAAACAAAAAAATAGAAATGCAGGGGGTTGGGAAGGTGGCTCAGTGGTAGAGTGCTGGCCTTGCATGCACGAGGCCCTGGGTTCAATTCCTCAGTACCTCATAAGCAGAAAAGGCCGGAAGTGGCGCTGTGGCTCAAGTGGTAGAGCACTAGCCTTGAGCTGAAGAGCTGAGGGTCAGCACAGTTCAGACCCCATGAGTGACCAAAATAAATAAAAGAGATAGAAATACATTCACACTTAGGTATCCTCAAAAGATTGGTTCCAGGACCATTGAGGACACCACAGAAGCCCAAATGCCAACATCCCTTATGTAAAATTGCATAGTATCTACACATAACCTGAGTGTGTGTTTTCATATACCTTAAATCATCTGTAGACTACAGCACATAATACAGTATAAATGGTACATAAATAGTTGTCAGACCTTCTGTGTTCAGAGAATACGCAGAGAAGAAATCTTGATAGGCCTAACTACATTTTCTACCTGCAACAATTTGACTTAGAAGATGCTGAACCAGAGGATACTATTGTTTGTTTGTTGGGTAGACACCATTATGAACAGGCTGTGCTACGTTCAGTAGATTAGAATAAAAGGAACATCAATACTGGTGAGAGATGGTGGTTGGTACGAAGAGAGCAGTGCTCGTGGCTCAAGTGGCTCAGGGTGGGTTTGTATCCAGCAATGGACAATCCTAGTGGCTCAGGGTGGGTTTGTATCCAGGAATGGACAATCCTAGTGGCTCAGGGTGGGTTTGTATCCAGGAATGGACAACTCTGAAAAGTAAGGTGAGAATTCTTAAGTGTTTCTGATAAATGATTCAAAGAACTGGTTAATGCATAATTTGTGTGTAATTATGTGGCCATCTAATGTGCACATGGTAATATAATTTGTAAAAAAAACAAAAACAAAAAACTTTCTTGCCATTCATTGTCACAGATAAAGAGTGACTCAAGTTACTAGAATTATAAGGTATATCTCCCAACTTATTTCCACTGATTGTTTAGAACCCAGGATTTGGACTTTGCTTACAAAGTTCATTGTGTTATTTTATGATACTGGGGCTTAAACTCACAGCTATCACTTGATATAGCAAATGCTATACCACTCGTCATTGTTACTGTGATGTTTCTCAGGTTTTTGAGCAAGACTTCTGGGTACTGATGGTATTCTAGAAGACCAGGGAGACTTCCTTAGAAAATTAGGAAAGGATCAAATTAAGAGACTTAGTGACCATCAAAATGTACAATTGTCAGTATATTGGATTATCCGAGTTTTCAATTTGCATTATTAGAAAAGTAGTATAACTTTAAAAGGACAAAATTTAGGGCTGGGAAGGTGGCTCAGTGATAGGGTGCTTGCCTTGCATGCATGAAGCCCTGGGTTCGATTCCTCAGCACCACATAAGCAAAAAGAAAAAAGCTAGAAGTGGCGCTGTGACTCAGGTGGTAGAGCACTAGCCTTGAGCTGAAGAGCCGAGGGACAGCTCCCAGGTCCAGAATTCAGGCCCCACGACCGGACCCCCCCCACCCCCCAAAAAAAGGACAAAATTTCGTATAAAGTAGTAGAGAGCAAAAGTTTAGTGATTCCTAGACTTTAAAATTCTGCAGTCTTATAACTATTACAACAGGGTTCTACAATTATGTGCTTGTACACCTCACCCATTGATACAGGTCTTGATTAACAAGGCAATTGTCTCTTCATTATATTTGCTTTAAAGAATTTAAGATGGCTAGTAGTCATTAGAGCAGAATTTATCCCATGAAAATATGATTTATTCAGTATATTAGTTTAGCTTGAAAAACTTAAACATACTTCTCTGAGCAAAGAAGTTACAATGTTTTGAAAACATAATTGGACTCTACTAAGAATTACATTAAATAAATATTAAATGTTACTATCAGATATCATTTGTATATTTTTCAGAATTAGCAATCTAAGCCCAGAACAAGAGCCAGGACTATGGAAACAGAGGTAAGTACATTTTCATATCTAAAGTATTTAAAATTATTTTTGTAGATTTGATACCTCTAACTTTGGTTACCTATGCTTAAGAAACACATCATCAGTATTGCTCAGTAATATTTTAGGGGTAAGAATAACTTGATGTCTCTGCCCTTTTTACTGTAATGACTCTAACTAATGTTTGGTTTCAGCCATAAATCCTCTGCAGCAATTCAGAATGAAACTCCAAAGAAAAAACCCAAATTGGAGTCTAAGCCCTCTAATGGAGATAGGTAAAAATGTATTCCTTCAATGCTGTAAAAATCTATAACTTAGTTGAATGGTTTATAGTCGATTGCCAATTATTACTAGATAAAAAAATAAGAATAGAATCCAGTGTCTTCAACATTGACTTCTTTGAGTCACCTAGAAGAGTAACCTGATCAGTTACAATTTTAACTTACTTTTGGCAATGAGAAAGTGGCACTGAACTATGTTTTTCTAGTTGGGGAATAAATTTGGGGTTTAAAAGAGAGCAAGTCTAAATAGAGATCATTCTCTTTGTTTATCAGAGAAACATCTGATGGTGATATTTCTTAATTGGCCTGCTTAGAAAATGTTTATATTTAAAAAATACTCTGTGACTTTATTTTAGTTCATTAGCCAAAAGTTTACTGATGTTACTGTACAAATTGGCTGCCTATTGCTTTACACTAGAAGTATTGACCCCCTCAAAGCTAATACTGAATTATATTTCTGCAGGTGTATGTAATGTGTGCCATTAGTAAGGTAATTTGCCAGTTGCATCCATATCTGTCAGGTACATATTTTTTTGCATTAGCCTTAAGGATGTTTGTGGAATTGTCTTATTTATGCAATTTGAACACCTGCTAACTTGCATTCTACTTCACTTAACTGTGGTTTGCTTTTTTTTTCTAGTAGCTCTATAAATCAGTCAGCAGATAGTGGGGGAACAGACAATTTTGTCCTTATAAGTCAACTGAAAGAGGAGGTGATGTCACTGAAGCGTCTCCTACAGCAAAGGGACCAGACCATCTTGGAAAAAGATAAAAAGGTGAAGACGCGGCTTGCTAAATACTGATACACTTCACACCACACCCGATCGTGGGACGTGCGCTAATTTTAAAATGAGATGCAAATGGAATGTCATGCAAATTCTTCTGATTTAAAAATGGCCAATCTGAATCCAGTAACTGATGAAGTGATAGTGTGGTGGTGGGTGTCTCAGGTCTTTCGTAGGAAGGACTTATACTAACAAACAGGTTTATGGTTTTCTTAGACTGAAATCGTCATGGCAGAGTTGTGGGCAGGCATATAGAGCAAGTGTCATCCAGTCATCCTCCACTCCAGACTCCAGTTCTAACACTTGGCTGTGTGCTTTTGGACAGAGTACTTTCTGTCTTTAGGCCTCAATTTTCAGATTTTAAAAGTAAAAGCATCAGAACTATTTTGTGAAAAGGTTGTAATGTCTGAATGAGCATGCAGGGTATCTGCCTCAGCTCCTGATTGGTATCTTGCTGTTCTGGTATACAGAGCCTACTTAGGGTCTAGTGCTGTGTTCAACATCATACCCAGCGGGAGGAAGCACAATTATAAATATACATAGGGATTGTATACCTCTGTGCATCCTTAGCAGAACTTGAATTGGCTTTCTCTTCTGACATTTAAGGACTTTTGTGCTACAATTTTGCACACTTCGGTTGTTAGTGAAGTTGTTTTTCTTTTTTTCTTTCTTTTTAATGTTTACTTGAAGTGAATTAAACATGTAAAAATTAGCAGTGGCTGTACAGTAGAAAATAGGGTAACTGAGTCAGGTCCCTGTGGTTTACACTTGAAATCCTAACTACTCAGGAAATTTGATATTTGAGTATTGCAGTTCAAAACCAAAAAGCCAAAAGTAGAGTTGTGGCTCAAGTGGTAGGGCAGTAGCCTTGAGCAAAAAACTCAAGAGCAGTACCTAGGCTCTGGGTTGAAACTCCAATACTGGCACGTGCGTGTGCACACACACAGAGATTTATGCTTCTATTAACACTTTTTAAGTTGGCATTTATGAAATATATTCTGTGCACTGTCTTAAATATTTTTGTTTACAAGATCAAGTAACCTTGAAAAAGCTAAACAAATGCCACACTTCCTTAAAAGCAACAATAATTTCCAAACTAAGTTGTAATGAGGTGTAGAATATTGAATTGTTCAAATGATTTTTTGTAATAGTGCAGTTTACATTTTCTGCTTTTAAAACAGTAATGAGGTTTGAAATAGTGCTCTAAGGAAAATAATTGTAAGCTGAAATAGCTATATGCCTATAGCTTTTTCTTATAAATGTATGACAACTTTGTTATTTTCCTGCACTGTTTCACACTCAGTGACTTTTAGAGCCAGACACTAGATTATTAGAATGCAAAACATAAAAAAGGCAGTTGTCACACAGTTGACGGTCTGGGGGCAACTTCCAATGTGTGAATAGAAAAATTACGTTGGTTGCTCTAATGTGAGTTCATCTTTCAGTCTAGGAATATAGAGAACATACAGACAGAATGTAGAGAAAGAAAATTTAGTTGAATTTGAAGGTGATAAGCACAAAACTTTGATTTGGAAAGATGAATGTAAAGCACTGACTTTTGACATTATATGTATTCGTTTACTAGAATTGAGTACTTACAGAAAAAAAAAACCAAACTTCCTCAGTTTTGGTAACACATACTTTTAAAAATAACCTGAAGCTATTTCTGTGTGGTTCTAATAATGAAATTAGATAACTTATTTTTAGTTGAAAATCACAAGATAGTGTACTTTTATGTATGTCAATTATGTGTGTAAAATCACTGATTTTTATCTTATCTAATTTAGTCTAGGTTTTCATAGTAGCCATCTTTTCCTCATTTCATATTAGTTGTATCTCTGTGCTTTGTTCTCATTATGGTCTTGTGCCAGGTGCTGGTGGCTCATGCCTATAATCCCAGCTACCAGGAGGCTGAGATCTGAGAATAGTGGTTCAAGGCTAGCCTGGGCAGAAGAGCCCGTGAAATTCCTACCTCCAAATAACCACAAAAAGCTGGAAGTGGCTATGTGTGGCTCAAGTGATAGAGTGCCAGCCTTGAGCACAAAAGCTCAGGGTCAGTGCTCAGGCCCAGAGATAAAGCCCCAGGACCAGCTAAAATAAAATGTAAACAAATAAAAATGGTTTTGTGATGTGTATCAAATCCTGGATATAATTTAGAAACAATAAGGCAGCTCTTGGTTGCTAAATCTATCATTTTCATCCATTCTTAAGCTTTATATCTTTTATCTATGAAGGGTTATTTTAACCCAAAATCAACTTAAATGTTTACTTTGTTCTTACTAATGTGAAGTACAGGTTTTGACGTGCTATCCAAGATTTTAGGCATGAAGTGTTTCTGTTGGTATACCAGGTTGTCAAATACTAGGCAGCGAAACCAGAGCAAAACAAGCAACTTGTCAAAGGTTTTACTGAGCCGGGCGCCAGTGGCTCACGCCTGTCATCCTGGCTACTGAGGAGGCTGAGATCTGAGGATCAAGGTTCAAAGCCAGCCGGGGCAGAAAAGTCTATGAGACTCTTATCTCCAATTAACCACCAGAAAACCAGAAGTGGCGCTGTGGCTCAAGTGGTAGTGTGCTCGCCTTGAGCTGAAGAGCTGAGGGACAGCGCCCAGGCCCAGAGTTCAAGCCCCATGACTAACCCCCCCCCCCCCCCCCCAAAAAAAAGTTTTACTGATTGCCAGGTATTACAATATAAAAATACAAACTGAATATAGTTGACAGAATTCATCATTTCACCAAATTGGTGCTAAAACCTAGGAAACTATAGTGAACATCTTCTGCCTTCATGATGAATGCACACTTATTGTGAAGCATTTTTAAAACAGTGTGATTGTGTGCGTGAGCAGATACATGCGTATGAATATATGTATACACGTGTATGTACACGTAAACATAATGTCCTTTCTCTTTTGATCACTCAGTTAACGGAGCTAAAGGCAGACTTTCAGTATCAAGAGTCAAATTTACGAACAAAGATGAACAGTATGGAAAAAGCTCATAAAGAAACTGTAGAACAACTTCAGGTAAATGATATTATTTATATAACATGTTAGTCTCAGAGGACTGAACTTGGGCAGTAGAGGTTGGTATTTGGGGGGGAGGGGTGTGTGAGAGAGAGACTGGGGCTTGAGTTAGGTCCTCCTCAGGTTTGCTGGACAGTCACTCTGCCCCTTGAGCTTGTTAAATTAATACCTGTTTTAGATAGGCTCTCCTGGTTTTGCCTAGGCCAATCCCAAACTTTGATCCTGCTGCCCGTACCTCCCATGTAGCAGAGATTACAGGCACACACCACCTTGCCCTACTTGCTGGTTGTTAAGGAGGCTTGCTAACTTGCCTCAGCTATCCTTGAACCATGATCATCTGATTTCTTCTGCCTTCTGACTTAGAGTATTGGTGTAGGCCACCACATCTGATCTCAGTTTTGATTTTGACTTTTATATATTCTTAATCCTGATTCCATTAAAAATTGTTGTTTGAAATCACTTGAAAAGTGATTATTAATGCTGAACACTTTTGCCTAAACTTCAAATGAATTTTCGAAGGAGATAGTTTGGATTGTATACAGTGAGTGAAAAACAAAAACACTAAGTGACTTGCAGGTAAAACTAAGGTTTAAGGAAGGTCTTCGGGAGTTGTTGCTCTGACAGCGGACATGGAGGCAGATCTTTGCGTAGGTAGACCAGTTCTCAGAGCCCTGTCAGTCAGGGCAGTTGTGGCTGTGGGAAGCCCTGTGAGTCACAGGTTGTACTGAACCTGTGACCTCTGCAACAAGCCAGGCAGTCTCAGGCATCGCCGTCTATGAAGGAAGCTGTAAACGTTCAAAAAGAAGTTGGGTGAAGTTGAGTCAGGGTGGATCCCATATCTGGTCTATGGGATGGTGAGCATCCAACACTTAACTCTCCATAAACTGAACTGTGTTACATGTCTCTGACACGTGGAGTATCTGTTGAGTAACGTCAGTAACAAGTTTGGGGTTATTTCTCTTTTCCTCTTCTTTTCTCCTTGATGCGGTGGATCAAACCCGGGTCCTCACTGGACAAGGGCTTTACCATCCAGCCAGCTCCCCACCCTGACTGTCGCTTAGACGTTTGAATGAGATCTTTAGCCTGGATGATGTCTTTGCAGATTTCAGAGTTAAGGGAAGACTACAGCTTTCAAAGAAAGGTGTTAATTCTGTCCCATTTTTAAGTTTTTCTGTTTTTCTTTTAAATTCTAATAACACCAAGGGATATTTGCTGTTCCTATTTTGTGGTTTTCTATTCTGCATATATCTTTGCAAGGACCTTAAATTGAATAGAGGTAAATTTATGAGAAATTCAAGAGACAGCCAACCTGTCTTAAACCTGTTCTTATTAAAAGAGATTCTGAACAATAATCTCTCATAAAATCAATCTGGAAATTACTTTGATCAAAGAGGGGTCATTTTATGGAATGTCTGTCTGCCCTCTGTTTTGAGAGGTTGCCAGTATTGTCATGGGAATTTTGTTTCGTAAGTACAGTTCTCATCCACCTTGCAGGTAGTACTTTTAAGTTTTAGGATGTTGCTTACCTGAAATATAATCTTCCTCCTGATCTCTGATTCCTTGTAATCAAAGCTCTGAAGTAAATACAGAATGAGCTTGATCACAGAATACCTATGAACAGTAAGAACTACTACTGAAAAGAGCAATTTGTTTTTGCCTTTTAAGTCAAGTTGCAGCCCCAAAGGAACCCTCTTTGTGTTGGCTTGATCCTGAAGTTTCATAGTCCCAGATACTTATCTAGGAAGGGTACTCCACATACTTTCTTACTTGTACCTTACGGTGACGTTAGTGTTGGGCCCACGATATGGAAAAGCTTTAGTCATTTCTCCTGACATCTTTCTCCAGTTTAGTTCAGCTCTTTCCTTCCCTGCACTCATTCCCACTAGTTCAGTTATTTCAGCCTTCTCTTTTATCTTTGTTCTCAGAAGACTTCTTTATGTCTTGAGTTATGCTAAAGATTCTCTGTCACGGCTCAGTGCCATCTTGTCCACTCCCTTTAGCAGCCGTTGGTGCTAGTAAGATTTTTACTGAAACAAGTAAACATAATCATTTAATACTTTTGAATCTTGCTGTCCTGGAACACACAGTCCTTTTAAACTCTTAATCCTGAGAGTAAGTACTATCCTAGAATTGCACCCCCTAAATATCAAGACTATTGAATTAAAGTTAGGCTCATCTAGTAGGTAAGTGGCTTACAGGGAAATGGAAACATTTAAATGCTCAGTAGGTGTTTTATATATCTGATTTGTTCTGGAGCTCCTCTTACAAACGAGAACCTCCAAGGTTCATAGCAAAGCATGCTGCACAGCCAGATTGAAGTCACGATCTACCTAATTCTTTATTGCAATATTCTTCCCGTTCGACTGGCAGTTCTAGTGGGTTTTTACTGACTTTTGTAGGCTGTGTGACAAAGTTGTATTTCTAGGATAAAAACAAATATGTATTTACTTAAATATTGCATTATAACCCCAGTGAGTTAAAATCATATTATATCCACTTAACAGCAGGTCACTGTTTAAAGGCTTTTTCTTTATAATTTAAGTCCGATTTCTTGATTTTAAGGAGTATCTGGTAGAAGTGTCTGGCGTGTCTGTGGGGCGTGCTGCTCTCCAGCATACGCTCTGCCGGCTGCTCCTTACCCACTCCCCTCCTCATGTTCTGGCCTTGCTGGCTTCAGACCACAGTCCTCCTACCCACAGCTCTGTACTAGCTGAGATGGCAGGTGTATGATAGAGATGAGTCTTGGAACCACAGGGACTGAACTGCTGTCTTCCAGGGCCCTGCTGTCCAAGTAGCTGGCATGGGCCATCTTGCCTAGCTTCTGGTGTAATGTTTTTATGCCGTTCATTGCTTGATTTTCTGAAATGCGTGTTGCTTAAATGTACTGTTTTTAGCCAGTAGGCCTATTTTAGCTCTAGATTACATGATATAACTAACAAGTAATGGAAACATTTAAACCATATCCCTTAGATCTGGTCAGCTAAGTAATGAATGGAATGATTATGAATGTGCTTCTAGACACCTCTAGCTGCCAGTCACTTAGTTTGTCTTCTGAGTTTTTCTGTTTAAAGGCAAGGTAAAAATCCTTCTCAAATTTTAGATTTGTGTGTGTGAATTTAGGGCCCTGTCCTGAGCTTTATTTATGGCTGAAGGCTAGCACTCTACCACTTGAGCCATACGTACACTTCTGGGGTTTTGCTGGTTTATTGGAGATAAGAGTCTCACAGACTTTGCTGTCCAGGCTGGCTTTGAACCACAATCCTCAGAATGCAGCCTCCTGAGTAGCTAGCTAGGATTATAGGCATGAGCAATCGGCATCCAACTTCAGATTGTTCTTTGAAATCATAATTGAGCTTGAAATTGAAAATTACCCCCTTTTTATTATTCGATTGCTATGGACTAGAAACCGTATTCAGATCTTTAAAAAAAATGTGACGTGATTGCATGCATGAAACTGCACTGAGGATTTGGAAATCATATGAAGAGTTTGGAAAATGGCAGGGGACAGAGAATGAAGCCAGATAGCACTGCAAGACCTGGGTTTTGGAAGTCATGGGTATTAGTATGAAAAGTTTTGGAAATCATCAGAATCAATATGAAGAGCTTGGAGAATGGAGCCAGGGAAAGATGACATCCACAGAAGACAGCTTCCTGGACATATGAAAGCTGCAATTAGGGTAGAAAATGAAGATCATGACTACTAAGTCTGTTTTCTCAGTAGACATAATCAGTGGTCCCTGGAAGACTGGCAGTTATACTGTTATCTGTTACGTTTTTGTTCTAAGAATTTTTAAAGGACATTAGAAATAGATTCAAGAGATTTTAATTATGTGAGAAGCTACAGATTTAGAGAATATTAGTCCTATGAAAAATATAAAGATAATATTGGCAAATAATTTTTATAAAACAGGCTAGAATCTCCTTTTATATAAAAGAAATGTGTTTAAAATGGTTATTTAAAATGATTTTGAAATCTGTTGTGATGTAAAATGGTTTCCAAACTTTAGCTAGAGGGTTTCTTCAACGCTGTTGTTATTTTTGAAGCAGTGGCCTGTTTCTAAACTATTATCGTTCTTCACATTTTGGCACAGATTTAGCACACGCTCACTTGATCGTTTATATTGTAGGTAGAAGAGATTCTCATGGAAGCTTCCACACATAGGATACTGTATTGCATAACAAAGGCAGTCAGACTATGAAAATGTTTACCCCAGTTCTCCACTGACAGAGAAGTAGGGGCCAGCATACCTAGCCAATTTTTTTTTTAATGAGATTTTATGAGATTAAAAACAGTGCTTAAGTCATAAAAACAGTAAAAACTAAGGCAAGTAAACAGAAATAAAACCAGAAACCGTGGGTCTGATATGCACTTTAGAAACAGAATAGCAGGGCTGGAGGCATGGCTCAGGGCAAGTACAAGACTGAGTCCAACCCAGGAAGGGGCCCGCCGGGGGGTGCGGCTCAAGTGTAAAGCTAGCCTTAAGCAAAAGCCACGCTTCCTTGTGAGCACACTGTACCACACACTGGGCAGATTGAGAGAGGGCTGTCAATCAGGATGCATTATACTTATACACTGATTTGCTGGATGCTAGCTAACTCCTTTGCACAGCTACTTAAAAACATACACAATTTAAAAATTACTTATCAAGAAGAGGCTTTTCACAAACTAATCAAAGTAAATAATTCTTGCAAAAACAATTTCTGATGCTTTTTTTTTTACAAGACAGTAGAAAGACCTGATACAGCTTGCTGAAAAAGTCTTCTCAATTGTGCCCTTGATTGATTCTTTAATTTTTTAATTACAAAATTCATCTTATTTAAATAGTTTTTATGTGCTAAGGTAAAGGACTGGTTTAAAAGTTAAACCTTTTAGGGGGCTGGGAAGGTGGCTCAGTGGTAGAGTGCTTGCCTTGCATGCATGAGGCCCTGGGTTCGATTCCTTGGCACCACATAAGCAAAAAGAAAAAGCCGGAAGTGGCGCTGTGGCTCAAATGGTAGAGCGCTAGCCTTGAGCTGAAGAGCTGAAGGACAGCGCCCAGGCCCAGGGTTCAGGCCCCACAACTGATCAAAAAAATAAATAAACCTTTTAAATTGATCCACTTTATTGCCTTTTTTTTTGAGGGGGATGGTGGTGAACTTTGATTTGAAACAAGAAGCATATTACTGACGTTTACTAAGAGATCCAATAAGCCAACATAAAATTTTCTCCAGTGTTTTAGCGAGATCTTCTGAGGCGTAGATGGAAAGAGATGTTAAAGTAGTACTCTTCTTTCACCGTGGCACTTAGTAATACTTCAGTCTTTTTAAACCTTGAATTTTTGTCTCTCACAGGCCAAAAACAGAGAACTACTCAAACAGGTTGCAGCATTGTCAAAGGGTAAAAAGTTTGACAAAAGTGGAAGCATACTAACATCTCCTTGAAAAATTATTTGTTTAGTGTTTCTGTTGACAATGTAAATTTGGGGCAGGGTGGGGAAGGAATCTGTGAAGCCCTGAAATTCTGTGTAGTGGAAAAATATTTTTGCACACCAGATGAATTGGTGTGTTTCCTACTCACTTTTGTAACTGATGTATAGCCTTTTTTAAGTTGTAAAGCATTCAAATAAAGCTTCAACTGGTTTGAAGTAACTTTGATTATTTGATATCCAGAAACTTTTTGCCAGCAATAGTATGAAACAGTTGTAATGGAGTAGTGCTCTTTATAAAATGCAATAACAGAGTAGATTTGGTTTTAAGAAGTCATAGCAGCAGGGCTTTGTGTTTTGGGTTTTCTTTAACACTATGCTAATTTCAGATAAAGTTTTCAGTTTAGAAATACAAAACATTTAAACAAGGAAAATGTGAACACTGGTTTGGGAAAAATTGTATTTTTACTTTGTATCTACATGAAGTAGGAGAGAATCATGGTGCTTTATTAAATGGACTTCAGAATATATGTACATATGTTTTTAAAAGTTACATCATTAATGTCAATAACCTAGCATTTTCATTACTGGTATAGGATTTCATGTTTATTGTTCAATACCCAAGGTAAAATGTGTTTTTGTTTTGTAAAAACTGTAGATTTTTACTTACAAGTGCCTTTTTGCCACCCAATGTTTTTATTTATAGGAATGCTGATCTTTTGTACATAGTTTGTTTTAAAACCATGTTTAATAAATGTTTGTATATAAATGCTTATGTACAAAAGCCTATTTCAAAAAGAAATCAAAGTTGCTAGTAATGTGTTTGAGGTTGCATATTGAGAACTGACCAGGCATATAGACTAGATTTTGTGCTTTTTTTGTGTGTATGTGATAAAGGAAGCAGTTGGCTATTGAATTCATTTAATTACGCTGAGATGCTTCTCTAAAGATTTAGTTTTAACTCATTTCTGATAGAGTAATTTTATTTTTTTTGGCTATATAGCTTCATGTCATTTTATGTTCCATGTTTTGCTTTATTTTTTATATAAAAATTGGCTTCTACAGTGATTCATATATATCTGCTTTCTCTATATTATGTGGTTATCTAAGTTAATATTTATATATACGTCATACTTAATTTGTACACTTTGCAAACTTGCAAAACTTTAAATAACTTGTTATAATCTAATCTGCTTATCTTTGTATAAATTGGAACCTCTGTAAGATTCAGGCACTAATAAAATTGCCTCAGAGTCTTTAAGTTTATCAATAGAACTAAGATAATGTGGAATAGGTTATATGAAGTTACTAGTTTTTTTTCAGTCTGTAATGGAAATTGATGTCCTACTTAGTAACCAGTTCTATTTTAAAACCTCAGGCATTGTTAGATACACTGTATAGATTAAAAGATTTCCTCTAGGAATTTGTGGACAGAGATAAATTGTTTGAAGTACACTGTTACTCAATTTTGAAGGTTTCCTTTTTAGACAAACGTTGATTGCGAATTTCATATCAAAGATAAGCTTTCTTAAGAAAACATGGTGATTGTATCAATTCTTTTTAACATGATTCATGTTTCAGTAGACTACTTATAGTTGTTTATTATAATGATAATGAATATTTATCCAGTTTGGAAACACATCATCTGGGGTGATTTTCAAGAAATGGTATGATTGAATCAGTCAGATTTGGAAAAACTAAACCAGCTATTTTTATGAGATCTTCACACAAGTAATCTTAAATTTGCTACTATCAAACATGGTGGGTAATGCTTATTTATGAAATTTTCACATAAGTAATCTTAAATTCACTGCTTTCAACCATGATTGATAATGCCTTAACATGGACTTTAATGTTTTCAAGATTCACTAATTTCACAAGATAATCATTACTTTTCTTTAAAATTTGTTAAGCTTTTGTATTCTGGGTTTATAATACCCTTTGTCAATCCACAGGGATCATTGTGGTTCTAAAATAAATTGTAGTAGTTCTTATACGTTGTTGGAGATGCTACAAAAGAAAGTTACCCTTCCCCCTTTAGCTAGCGAAAACCTTGAAAAAGCTAGTTTAATTCATTAAGCTTTGTAAATTCTAAGATTAAATCCATTTAGGGGCTCCATGGTACTTTGCCCTAATTAAATACCCTATCTTTATTCCATTATCTTACTTTATAACAAAATCTTGCAGCTGTATAAACTAGTAATTGAGTCCCAGTCCTGGATCTGTAGTATATTGACTTAATGAGCTGATACTCTTTAAATGTAAGAAGATACTATAGTGTGCTGTATTGTGCTTTTAGCCTGATTACTGCGATTAATTAACATTTACCAGTGAGGTCCATTTTGGCTCAAGTTATTTATGTGTTAATAGCCTGTGAATATTGCAGTCCTTTTTAGATTGTATTGGTCTAAATATGCATTCTGCAATGAACCTGTTAAGCTGTTCACATGTATAGATGATCAAAATACTGTACTTGTACACATCTGACTGTTGACATTTTTGTACTTTTTTTCTAAATCCAATATTTCACAATAAAACATTGTCAAATGCTTTGTATTAGTTTTCTGTTTTTGCTGCAACAAAGTATCACATGCTCAATGGCTCGGAACCACAAGCAGTGTTGTCCTCACAGTCCTGGAGGCCAGAAGTTCTTACTCAGCCCACTGCCCGTTGGCCCTGTGTTTCCGTGCACAGCCTCTCGTTTTATGTCTCCCTGGCCATCTGCCACGGACCCTCGGGCATCGCTGGGCCCACCCGACGAGCAGGGAAACCTCTCCGCATGTCTGCACAGCCCTGCAACACTCCGTGTCCATGGTCTCCAGGGATTTCCAGCACAGGCATCACTGGGGGCCATTACTGAGCCTACTGTACACCTGTCCTCTTCTTTTTTCCCAGAATGAAGTTTCAAGGTGACAGGAAGGAAATGGCTCAGGCTAACCATTAGGAAATATTTTCTTATCCATTCAGTCTGTCTTAATACAACAGTTATTTTCCTGGGACTGGAGGAAATAAATTATTTAAGCTTTGGAAGCAAAAATACAGGAAAGTGCTGGGTGAAAAAGCATGAGCTAGAGAAGGAGTTTATCGTCAGGGAGGGGAGGCTGTGGCAGGAGTGTGGCAGGAGTGTGGCAGGAGCGTGGCAGGAGCGTGGCAGGAGTGTGGCGCCCACTGAGGAAGGCAGGGACAGGTTTCAGCACCAGATTTGTGACTCAGACCAGATAACTTTACATTTTAAGGAAACTAGCAGTTATTTTCTCTAAGTTTATAGTGTACTGACTTTGGCTAACATCTTATTTTCCAAAATAGCTTGAAATGGGCTATCAGTGTCATGGCATGTAGCAAGTTTACTGCAGAAATGAGTTTTCAAGAGGTGTGTGTGTAGTCGTACCAGATTAGGCAGCTGAGAATAAAATAAGAGTATATGGACCAAGAAAAATCTATTCTTACTCCTGTCCTGACATGAAGCACAGAGGTTTTTCAGTTATTAAGCTCGTGGGTGATCTGAAAAGCTGTGTCTTCCACTCATGTTTGATGCCAGTAGGTAGGGCTCTACCAGACGTGCTGTGCTAATCACGTTCCACAGAAACTATCATAGAGAGTTAAGAGTGGAGAGACTCACTCCTAAGTGCAAGGACAACAACTTAAATGGATGCTAGTGGCTCATGCCTATAATCCTTGCTGCTCGGGAGGCTGAGATCTGAGTATTGACATTCAAGGCCAGCCCAGACAGGAAAGTCCATGAGACAACTTACTCCAATAGTCTACAAGAAAGGGAGCTGCGGCTCAAAGTGTTAGAGCACTAGCCTTGAGTAAAAGCTCAGGGACAGCGCCCAGGCCCAGAGTTCAAGCCCTATGACCAAAATCAAAAAACAAACAAAAAACTTCATAAAATGACCCTTAGAAGTAAATAGATACTTCATAAGAAAAATGCAAATGTAGTTATCAAGAGAAGATGCAGCACAATAGTTACTGCAAAGGTGTATTTTGATTGAAGTGCGGAATAATGTACATATCCATTCATACTTAACAATTCCATCACTAAAGATCTAGCCCATCCACTTGGAAGACTTAAAAGCCTATATGCATAAGGACGGGGTGTGGGGTCATGGCTCCAGTGGTTTAGCACCTTCCTAGCAAGCTACCCTGCAGTAAAGTCTCAGTACCACCCATCCAAAGTCCTTGCTCATCGGTATGCAGGTTATTTGTAATAGCAATGATCAGAAATCAAGATCATCAAAACCCATAAGGGAGTGGTTAATTAACAACCATGGCATACTACTCCACAAGTAGGGTAGGGCTACACACACACACATTTGGGGGGTTGTCCTTGCAGTAGTACTGGGGTTTGGACTTAGGGCTTGTTTGCTATAAGGTAGGAGCTCTACCACTTGAGCCACACCTCCAGCCTTTTTGTCTGGTTATGTTTGCTTTTTGCCTAAACTGTGCTCCTCCTGGTCACTTCATTAGAGGTCTGGCCTCGTACCCTGGTCTTCCTGATGTCAGCCTCCTCTCACATGGTTAGGAGCGGAAGTATGAGCACCATTACCTGGATTGTTTTTTAACTGAAGTCTCAGTAGTAACTTTTAGAAAGTGGTTATTAGGAGTGGGAGAAGGTTTCATTTTTTTCAATAAAGTGTGTGCAATTGTACAGAGGGGTGATTTTCCTATGTTGGCATAATGGACTTTGGCCGTGTTCAGTCTGTTGCTTTGGCCGTGTTCAGTCTACTGCTCTGGTCACCTTCAGTCTGCTGCTCTGGTCACGTTCAGTCTGCTACTCTGGTCATGTTCAGTCTGCTGCTCTGGTCATGTTCAGTCTGCTGCTCTGGTCATGTTCAGTCTGCTGCTCTGGTCATGTTCAGTCTATTGCTCTGGTCATGTTCAGTCTACTGCTCTGGTCATGTTCAGTCTACTGCTCTGGTCATGTTCAGTCTACTGCTCTGGCCATGTTCAGTCTGCTGCTCTGGCCGTGTTCAGTCTGCTGCTCTGGTCATGTTCAGTCTGCTGCTCTGGCCGTGTTCAGTCTGCTGGTCATGTTCAGTCTACTGCTCTGGCCATGTTCAGTCTGCTGCTCTGGCCGTGTTCAGTCTGCTGCTCTGGTCATGTTCAGTCTGCTGCTCTGGCCGTGTTCAGTCTGCTGCTCTGGCCATGTTCAGTCTGCTGCTCAGGCCGTGTTCAGTCTGCTACTCTGGTCATGTTCAGTCTGCTGCTCTGGTCATGTTCAGTCTGCTGCTCTGGTCATGTTCAGTCTGCTGCTCTGGTCATGTTCAGTCTATTGCTCTGGTCATGTTCAGTCTGCTGCTCTGGTCATGTTCAGTCTATTGCTCTGGTCATGTTCAGTCTGCTGCTCTGGTCATGTTCAGTCTATTGCTCTGGTCATGTTCAGTCTGCTGCTCTGGCCATGTTCAGTCTACTGCTCTGGCCATGTTCAGTCTACTGCTCTGGTCATGTTCAGTCTACTGCTCTGGTCATGTTGAGTCTGCTTTGGCCGTGTTCAGTCTATTGCTCTGGTCATGTTCAGTCTGCTGCTCTGGCCGTGTTCAGTCTGCTGCTCTGGTCATGTTCAGTCTACTGCTCTGGTCATGTTCAGTCTACTGCTCTGGTCGTGTTCAGTCTGCTGCTCTGGTCATGTTCAGTCTATTGCTCTGGTCATGTTCAGTCTACTGCTCTGGCCGTGTTCAGTCTGCTGCTCTGGTCATGTTCAGTCTGCTGCTCTGGTCATGTTCAGTCTGCTGCTCTGGTCATGTTCAGTCTATTGCTCTGGTCATGTTCAGTCTACTGCTCTGGCCGTGTTCAGTCTGCTGCTCTGGTCATGTTCAGTCTACTGCTCTGGTCATGTTCAGTCTACTGCTCTGGTCATGTTCAGTCTACTGCTCTGGTCATGTTCAGTCTGCTGCTCTGGTCATGTTCAGTCTATTGCTCTGGTCATGTTCAGTCTACTGCTCTGGCCGTGTTCAGTCTGCTGCTCTGGTCATGTTCAGTCTGCTGCTCTGGTCATGTTCAGTCTACTGCTCTGGTCATGTTCAGTCTGCTGCTCTGGTCATGTTCAGTCTACTGCTCTGGTCATGTTCAGTCTGCTGCTCTGGCCGTGTTCAGTCTGCTGCTCTGGCCGTGTTCAGTCTGCTGCTCTGGTCATGTTCAGTCTGCTGCTCTGGCCGTGTTCAGTCTGCTGCTCTGGTCATGTTCAGTCTGCTGCTCTGGCCGTGTTCAGTCTGCTGCTCTGGCCGTGTTCAGTCTACTGCTCTGGTCATGTTCAGTCTGCTGCTCTGGTCGTGTTCAGTCTACTGCTCTGGTCGTGTTCAGTCTACTGCTCTGGTCATGTTCAGTCTGCTGCTCTGGTCATGTTCAGTCTGCTGCTCTGGCCGTGTTCAGTCTGCTGCTCTGGCCGTGTTCAGTCTGCTGCTCTGGCCGTGTTCAGTCTGCTGCTCTGGTCATGTTCAGTCTGCTGCTCTGGCCGTGTTCAGTCTACTGCTCTGGTCATGTTCAGTCTACTGCTCTGGTCATGTTCAGTCTGCTGCTCTGGCCGTGTTCAGTCTGCTGCTCTGGCCGTGTTCAGTCTGCTGCTCTGGTCATGTTCAGTCTGCTGCTCTGGTCATGTTCAGTCTATTGCTCTGGTCGTGTTCAGTCTACTGCTCTGGTCGTGTTCAGTCTACTGCTCTGGTCATGTTCAGTCTGCTGCTCTGGCCATGTTCAGTCTGCTGCTCTGGTCATGTTCAGTCTATTGCTCTGGTCATGTTCAGTCTGCTGCTCTGGTCATGTTCAGTCTACTGCTCTGGTCATGTTCAGTCTGCTGCTCTGGTCATGTTCAGTCTGCTGCTCTGGTCATGTTCAGTCTATTGCTCTGGTCGTGTTCAGTCTACTGCTCTGGTCGTGTTCAGTCTACTGCTCTGGTCGTGTTCAGTCTACTGCTCTGGTCATGTTCAGTCTACTGCTCTGGTCATGTTCAGTCTACTGCTTTGGCCATGTTCAGTCTGCTGCTCTGGCCATGTTCAGTCTGCTGCTCTGGCCGTGTTCAGTCTGCTGCTCTGGCCGTGTTCAGTCTACTGCTCTGGCCATGTTCAGTCTGCTGCTCTGGCCATGTTCAGTCTACTGCTCTGGCCATGTTCAGTCTACTGCTCTGGTCATGTTCAGTCTGCTGCTCTGGTCATGTTCAGTCTGCTGCTCTGGTCATGTTCAGTCTACTGCTCTGGCCATGTTCAGTCTACTGCTCTGGTCATGTTCAGTCTACTGCTCTGGTCATGTTCAGTCTGCTGCTCTGGCCATGTTCAGTCTGCTGCTCTGGCCGTGTTCAGTCTGCTGCTCTGGCCATGTTCAGTCTACTGCTCTGGCCATGTTCAGTCTACTGCTCTGGTCATGTTCAGTCTACTGCTCTGGTCATGTTCAGTCTGCTGCTCTGGCCATGTTCAGTCTGCTGCTCTGGCCGTGTTCAGTCTGCTGCTCTGGCCATGTTCAGTCTACTGCTCTGGCCATGTTCAGTCTGCTGCTCTGGCCATGTTCAGTCTACTGCTCTGGCCATGTTCAGTCTACTGCTCTGGTCATGTTCAGTCTGCTGCTC